TGTTTGATGCATGAATGCTTTGCAGGGTACGCTATACGAGTTTGAAGGGTTTTTAATGTTGAGATTTGAGTGGTTATGGTCGTAAGTCTTCATCAGACTAAGGCACTTCAATGGAGCGCATGTGTGCCTTTGTATTGCCCCTTTAACGGAGATGGAATGAGACGGTCGTATTCCAATGATGTGCTCCTTATAACTAGTAACTATTTAAACGTGAGTAGTCGTAGAGACAACCCATAGTAAATAGCTGAGTGAAAGGTTCGAAGAGGTGCTAATCGTGTCTAAAGCTGTGTAACACTCTTCGCTAGTTAAGCTGGGCGTTGTAGGTCGCAGGGTAAAATTTGAGATTTAAAGACACTCGCTTACAATTCACTGCTCTCCACGATTCAAACTCTTGCCGTACCACCTCCGCCTTAATATAATGATTATTCGAAATGCACCTGGTGATACCAAAGTCCCGATTTCAGACTTGGTGTTTGCATGAAACATTTAATGAACGCCTAATTATGGCGGATTGTCTTACTTTTTACTTGGAGTCGTCATTGAGTCCTAGGGACGCTACGCGTCGAAAAATCAAAACGCGTCTGAAATGGTCAATAATTAAGATATTTGCATGATTGCATCGTTTTCCAGCCTATGATAATCAAGATTATTGTAGAAAAGCGTCATCTACTTTGTGTCACCTCTATTGCATGTTCCGGAGTGAAATCAAATCAGATTATTGGCTGAATAGACGATAAAAGGATGGTGAGAAGTTATCATAAGCCGAGAAATAAATTATTATTAGAATATAGTGCTCCTTGTCAGTGCTAGATTTCTTTGTGCACTTATTTGACGATTTAGGGTAGTTTAAAGATGTATATTTCAAGATAACACATCAGCTAGGACCTTTTTCATCGACGTAGTAGCCAATTAATGACTGTACTGGTTTAACTTCCAACGTCGATTCATAGTTCTAATCAAGTGGGCAGTGCGCATGAAGACACCATAGTTTCAAATTGATCTAGATATCAATAAACAGCGCTCGAATATTCTGTTGCAGAATTTAAGTCAATGTCTTATCGGGCTCATGAGCAATTGATGAAAAAAAAAGAAGACCGAGCGAATGGGCACGATTTTATAAAGTAATAAAAAACACAAGCAGAAGATTCGCATACTTTTAAATTGTCTTCGGGATAGTGATTTTGGTACAAGTGTTGGGGTAGTGGGCAGAAGCGAGTGAATGGAGCTATCGGGGAGATGTACTAATTCCCATTTTGAAGAGCTCTGTACACAGCTAAACAGATAGATAGAATTGAAAGTAATTAGTTTAGATACAATAGAATAACAGTGAGGCTTTTATATGTTTGCCGTGGGAAGTTCTGATATATCTTACTCCCTCCACCAACTAAGCCGAAAGTTAGAAGTAGAGGGAGATATGCCGTAGCGAGGAATCAATATCCTAGAACAACGCAGCAGAGCTTATTTTCCTTGCTTTTCCAGCTTTACCAGCTGAATTTGAGATGACGCAATTTCAGCGATAGCAAATGAAAGGTAGCTTTGAGCTGATATAAGGATTTATACTATAGAATCGGCTTTTAAATACCATGAATAACATTTTTTGCTCCTCTTTCCGTATTTGGTAAGTGCAGACCTCCTCGACCAGGTCGATTACTAAAAGATGTGATGATTTAGGTGAGAGATAAATATAATGGTAGACTATCATAAGTTTCAGCTTTAATTTGATGCATTTATGATTGGGATTTGGCAATATTTATTGATTTGTACAAAAGGTCATGTTGTTCAGCATATCAGGACGATTATATTCCAGAATGCACACAAAAATGTATATTAAAAATGAATATGTGAGCTCCATAGAGCTCACTTATATATGCGAGTATGTTTATTTCTAATTATATCGATTCTTTTTGAGCGAGTTATGCCTGTGCAAGCAGCCATGAATCTCAGACGCGGGGCCATCTGGCGGACGCAAGCCATAAGATAGTAGCAGATAATTTGGAGTACTTTGGTAGCTCATTCTGTCGTAGATATTTCTTAGGCGAAAGTAAATCCCTCAATCAACTCACAGCATGCGCGGGGGTCTTGTACGCGTGCTATATGACCGAGGCGCGTTTTTCGAAGTTTCATAAGTGCAGAAGCTGACATTTGATAAGGATATAAGACAGCAGCACCAACGCCAGCTGTGAAGAGCGTCCAGCTGTGTTTAATCCATATCCCCTCAATCATTGTCTTCAAAAATTGGCCACAAACAAAGACAAAAGCAATAAGGTTTCAGCTGATTATCACTAGACATTTATTGGAATTTACAGAGAAAGGCTGCTTCTCTACCATATCAATAGCTACAGCGGACAGTACAGCTAAAATGCAGCTTATAAGAGAAGTGGCGGTGTCACAATTTGTATAAATTACACTGATAACATTCATAAATATTATAACAAAACAAAACAAAAATAATCTATCTAGTGATTTCACCAGTGATATCCTTGCATAGTAGGGTATCGTAATTCTTAACAAAGGCATTTGTGAGAAGGCTGTATTGTGGTGTGTAGTCATCGTCTTCGCCTTCGTCTTATCCATCGTTGAGGGATATTTGTTCAATTGAGGAGTAAAGTGAGATTGTTGATAGATTGGCGAATATTTTTAAGCCCTAACATGTGCTGGTGATGAGCGTGTTGAAAGGTACGTTGTAGGCGTTGTTGCATTTCTCATTAGTCGTAGTTGAAAATTCTCTTGAGGAAATATTTACAAAGGCATCTGTAGATATATTTGCAGATGCAAATGCGGATACTGTTGAGGATGTCTTTGAAGAGATGAAAGAGCGATTTTCGAATGGATTAAAGTCACTGAGTCGAAAGTCCATTAAATAAGAGGCAGTGGCAGTGGCAGTAGTTTCTATGGCGGTCGTAGAAGCAGATGAGGCCTGCTCATTTGAATGTTTTGATGAACGCTTGAAGAGGTGAAATGAGCCAAAGAGTTGCGACATAAAGCATACTTACCACGCCTCTTGAAGGCATCGGCAAGCAAGACACCGGCAACAAACATGGAGTGCATTCTAATATCCTAGTGATAAAGTGGCGATGTGAGGTCCAGTGAAGATCGCGCCAGGCGATTTTTTAAGGATAAAAAACCAGATTTTACTCCACAATAATAAAAGTCACATGGAATAATTTGCGATGCATTGCCTTCACAATGAGAGCAATTTGAATCAGTGTCAAACAGACGCGTTCCGTGATAGCTTGAAGAAAGCGTCAGACGCGCTGTTCGGTCATCGACCTTCTTTGACTCATTAGGCCTCTTTAATCAATATGAAGGTCTTGATGTCATATCAGAATCCCAATGTTTATCTTGCGGCTGTCGCTGCTGGTAAAAGTAATGGTCTTTTCAAAAGAAGGATGTCTCCCAAGACAAGCAAAACAGCAGTAAAGTTACAAAGAATAGGTCACTACTTGACGCAGCACCACATGAATTGTTTAATCGTGTCTGATACAGTTTTGATTGGGTAAGCGTCAAGATGTGGTGAGTTATTTTTGTCGGCTTAGTCAATATGCAGTAATAATATCACTGAAGCCTCCTTCAATTGTGGATTTTATCGCTTCAACCTGCACATGACCTGAAATTCGAAGCGGCTGTGCTTATCGGGCAAGTGGGCATGGCTTGTGGGGTGTGAGGCATATCAAAAAGTTCCGACACAACTGACTAGATAAATATGCAAAGTATCATTTAATCATCACCATGACCAAGAAATTAGCAATCATCGGAGCCGGCCCCGCAGGACTCTGTTTAGCGAACACCCTCATCCAGCACACTGACTTAGACGTGCAGGTGTTTGAGAGAGATGCGCACATCAATGCTAAGCCGCAAGGGGGTAGTTTAGATGTGCACGTGGAGGCGCAAGAGGCGCTGAGAGCGGCGGGGGTGTATGAGCAGTTTGCCCTGCACGCGAGGTGTGGTGACCAAGAGGACGTTATATTAGACAAGCACGCCTCTAAGCATGTGCATATGAGGGCCGAAAGCGGATACAAGAATGAAAATGAGAATAACAATAAGAATAAGCCGGAGATAGACAGAACTGCACTGAGACATTTTCTCTGCGACGCCCTCCCAGAAGGCGTAATCAGGTGGGATACCAAAGTGGACAAGGTGGAGCAAGCCACTCAAGGTAGCCCAGCCACCATCCACTTTGACGGTAACAAACACTCATTCGACCTGGTCGTCGGCGCGGATGGTGCGTGGTCCAAGGTCAGACCACTCCTGCACACCATCCCTCCCTTCTACTCCGGTGTCAGTTGTTATGAAGGCAACTTAAGGGACGCGAGTGTGAAACAGGCACAAGAGGATTTCTCCGATGTCTTCTGCAACGGCACCACATTCATCCTCGCGGAGACAGACGGGCTTATGGTGATACAGAAAAACAGCGGAGACTGCTACAAAGTGTATGTGTACAAATCCAAGCCGGAGGCGTGGGCGAGGGAGGCGGGCATTGAGGAGCCGAGTGCACTGCGCGCTGCGATGCTCGATGACATCAAAGACTGGTCGCCTAAGCTCCATGGCGTCGTCAGAGCACTTAATATTGATATTTTCAAGAGAGCAATGTATATGCTGCCATCGGGAATAATGTGGGAGTCGAAACCTTCAATCACAGTGGTGGGCGACGCAGCAAGTTTGCAGACACCTTTTGCTGGACAGGGCGTCAATTTGGCTCTCATTCAAGCGCACAAACTGGCTCAGTCGCTTGTCTCACATAAAGAAAACCAGCTACTCGCCGTTCAAGATTATGAGAAGTGGATGCACGACGAAGCTAATAGCAAAATGACGCTTACGTGGACCAATCTTCAAATGTTCATGAACAAGGGCGCAATTGCAAAGCTGAAACAGTTTGTTGCTTAAGTGTTTTTGTATTCATTATTCATGTTGATGTGCCTTGAAAAAGTAAAGTCCATAATAATACATTTATTTATGTAAATCTATAACCGTCTAAAAAGCAAACCAAACGAGTTGGAAAAAAGGTCAAGAAATTTTTATCCCCGCGACGCAAACCCACGCGCACTCTAGCTACATCTTCTTGACGATAGTGGTGAGTGCAACGCTAATAACGAAAGGCGCGTCGAAAGCGGTACCAAAGAGGTCGACAGCGGGCAGCATATCAGCGAGAACGCTAAAATTGGTATTGCTGCTGAGAGAGCTATTGAGCTGTACGAGCATAGTGAGGAAGAAAGAACCCATCAGCTGAGCGAGTAAGAAGATCAAGAATATTTTAGTACTACCACTATCATCTTCATTCTGGGCGATGTTCGTCGTACCGGAGACTTTCTTGAATATCTTCCTCACCACTAATAAAAGAGCTTTAGTGTTAGAGACGATGATGGCGCCTACAGAAACGACAGAGATCTGCTTGGAATAGACGTCTTCTGACTCCCTTACACCGAACAACCTCGACAAAACCTTACCGAGTAGGATCGAGAGGTAGTCGGGGGTGCTCTCTGTATGACTGTGTCTGAACATGAGATTGAAGAGTGAGACCAGGACGCGCGTGATGCAGTACACGGCGAAAGTGTAGCCAAGCACCATGTACACTTTACCCTTGATAGTGCGTGAAAACTCCTGTCTTTGATGTTTGAATTTTAGTTCAGCGAGGTCAGCCCTCATCTGCTCCTCGAGGCTGGTGAGGCCGTTGAGTTCGGTGCGTAGAGGAGCAGGGACGGCGGAAGATTGAGTCCATGATGTAACCCAGGCGGGTATAATGGAGGCACTGGAACCTGCACCTGCGCCATCTTGTTCCATCTTGGCACTCGCTGCGACTTGCGCACTATGTACTTTCGAACGCACGTCATTTAGTTGAGACTGGACGTGCATAAGAGCTTTTTCCGAGTTTTCAATGTCTTCGTGTGAAACAGGCAGCCAATTACGCTTAGAGACGGCTCGGAGAAAGTTGAAGGTGGTAGAAACAACACTGAAACCGGACAAAACAGCGAGAATGATGACACCAAGACCGACACTGCGTACGATAGCCTTACCAAAGAGGCTGTTGGTTGTGGATAGAGGGAGAGGGATAGTGGAGAAGAGGAGAACGTAGGCGAGGAAAGGGATGAGACTGATTTTGATAGTGCGGATTATAGGTGGTTGATAATCTAGGATAGCAGTGGAAGCTTGACGGAGCCTGACAAAGAGGAAACACTGCAAGTAGGGAATCAGAGCGATTACGAAGAGGAGAAGGAGTCCTAAGGAGATTTTGAAGGCGACATCGACAGCAGGAGTGTGGAGGAGGTTGAGAGCGTTGAGGATGGCTATGAAAATGATTTTGCTGGCTTGTGCAAACACCATTGAGAAAGCCCAGCGCGATAAGATCAAGCCAGATGCGACGTGATTGAGGGAGGTAACTGCGCTGAGCTTGGACTTGATGAAGGGAATCAGCGGTTTGGAAAGCGTGGATTTGAGTGTCGGCAGAAGCGGCGCGTTTGGCTGCTCATCGTCGTCGTCGTCATTGGATTTGCTCTGTGAAGCGTCTTTAAGGGTGGGGGATAAAGATCGCAGTAAGAAGTTGCGCGCTAGCGTGAAAGATAAAATTCTAAAAACGCGTTAAATAGAGACAAAAGGTACGTCACCACCCACTCAACAGCGGTAATTAAAATACCGTCGCGAATATCTTTGCCGTGCATGCGTGGTGGTATTGGAGCAAGTTGGTGAAAGGACGTTTAGGTGAATAGAAGATGAAATATAAATCTGGCAACAGATTTAATTAGCGAATTCAAATGTGATTACAGGTATTCAAACATCTCCTCAATTATGTTGGTTGCTTCAAGATATATTTGCAATATGAAATATACTTGTAAATGATTGAAAGCGCTTATAAAATACTTGTATACGCTTCTATCTAGCTGTGGCACATTCCGCTCACTCCCCAATATGTCCTCTGATGCCATTCCCCCTTCTCTAGGGCTTCGACCAGATAGATTCTCCAAAAAATCTAAAAACCCGATAAAAAGCGATAAAGAGCTCTTAAATGAAGTTCGAAAACGTCATTCGTTTTACATTCAAAATAACCACACTCCTTCTTTTCATTTCTCTTGCCGCTGTTGCTGCTGGTGGTTCTATTCAATGTGTTTATCAAGCTGAAGATATTTCCTGGTGGCTAACTAATAATGAGAATCCTTGCTCTGTAATGGCATATACAGCTCAAGTTTGTAATCGTCAAGGTGAGCTGGGTTTGAAATAGCGAGATAGCTTTCAGTAACCTTGAATAACACTCTACAGCCACTCCTCGAGGTCTCAGCACAGACGACTCTACTTATCACGCTGATCCAGACAGCTGCGAGTGTTCTGTGCCTTACTACAATCTAGCCGAAGCTTGTGTATTTTGTGGCACAGGCAATCACAACCGCGAAACCAGTGTGGATGATTTCTTCTACAAGTGCAGGAATAATGGTTTAGATATCTCGGATCAATTCCCCTCCAAGGTCACCGATAATGTTGCTGTACCGCCATGGGCCACCATACCAGTACCAGCGAGCGGCAATTGGTCATATGAAAATGCAGAGTCGTATGCATCCGACCACCCTACCCCCACTGAGACGAACAACCAGGGTAAACCATCCGATAAAAACGGTAAAAGCAATGAAGAGAATTCATCAGAAGATGGCGACCATAATTACTCAGTTGGTGCAGTCGTGGGGGGTACACTCGGTAGTGTTGCAGCAGTAGCCATTGTCATCGCAGTCGCTGTTCTCTTTTGGTGTAGACGCTCCTCAACAGCTGCGCGCAGAAGACGTTTAATGATGCGCGCTCAAGGCGTACCCAAAGTTAAAGGTACAGATAGTGTATTCGAGATTGACGACGATGAGTCGACGCAGAACAGGACAAACGATCTCGATAAAACATACATCCCAGTGCCGTATACAGGCTCAATCACGGGAGCAGGACTTAATGCGGCGAGTAGTGGAAGGGTTGGGCAGCATAGTCAAAGAGGATCCCAGCCACTGAATAACTTGACTCACCTTGATGAGGATAGCATTTACAGCAAAACAGACTTGACTACACCAGTTCCTGCAGTGAGGAGAGGTGTGGATGCAGGATACAGCTATAAGCAGCAGAATAGGCAGACGGACGCGGGCGTCAGTTTGCGCACAAATTCGCGTACAGATTCAATATTCAGTGAGAACGAGTATTACAAAGGAATCATATAGGATAGATTGGATTAATTGGATTGTACATATACCCGATGGATACATTATTTAGCTAAAATTATCAACTAGTCTATGCAAATGAAGGAGATTACTATATGATTAATGAAAATACAAGAATTTTAACAGTGTCAGGGCTGTTTCCCTATCGACTATCCACCTTATCACAAATAGTCTGAATCTGTGTTATCGTTCTAACCAATTCCGAGGTAAGAATTCAATGTAGAGTTTAAGAAATTTCCCTATTTAATAAAAATAAGAGGCGTAAAATATTCAATGTAAGCCAATGAATACGCACGGCCGCCTCGATAAAGTCACGCGCTCCGAACATACCGAATTCCAAACCAAATACAGAATCAGTGAAGATGTTTAATAGACTAGTAATATTTCTAGAATTAAAAATAAAATATCACATTTGACGGCTGTCACTTAGACGTCGAACAATTCTTTAGGCTGCACTGCATTTATTGTGTTCCTTGGGGTAAACACTCTTACGCTTAGACGACCATTATCTAAATTAAATTTGGAGATTTGAGAGATGGCATTTACATTGGAGAACTTTGATCTCAGCAATCTCCTTGGCAGTGATCTCGACGCATTTACTCAATCCGCAGCCAATCTCAAGAACCCGCACAACAACGTCGACTACGACAGTTTTCACGATTTCTTATCTCCGCATCAGGGCGGTGAATCTATAGACAGCGATCTCCCTTACTCGTGGTTCGATTACAACCGAAACACCCCGCAAATAAAGACGGAGCCGATGGATGAGATTGTCCCCGTAGAGAGTTTGCCACCGAGCATGTTCTTCCAACCACCAGCAGCTCTGTCCAATCCATCGATTCACCCACATGGATCGGAGGAGCAGGTGGAGAAAGAGCAGTCAGAGCAACCGGAGCAAGAGCAGCAACAGCAGCATCAGCATCATGACCAGCACGTAGAACTAGACTCAGCATATGCCTCAGCCTCAGACGACGACAGCGATGCAACCACTAAACCCACCCCCAAACGCTCTTCTAGGAAGAATGCAGGTGGGAGCAAGTCGAAACAAAAGGCACTTTCCCCACAAATCAAGCGCAAAAGATCAGTCTCTCCAGCGGGATCAACGAGTAGCAGAAGATCCTCAGTCATGGACGCGGAATTGGAGAATATAGAACTACCAAAGATACAGAAAACAGCACATTCGTCGCAGTTCGTCCCGCCAGACACGTCCAACTTGCCTAAAAAGGAGGCTAGATTGTTGAAAAATAGAGCAGCAGCGTTCCTTTCAAGACAGAGGAAAAGGGAGGCGTTTGAGTTACTCGAAGATAAGGTTAATGAGATTGAGAAGGAGAAGGATGCGCTGAGGATGGAGAGAGATGAGGCGTTTGCTGGCGAACGTCGTGCTCTTGACCAGTTGAAGGCGTTGCAGATGAGATTAGATGGTGAGCGCATGCAGCAATAGCGCCCTACTAATAGGAACAAAACGAATCAACGAATCAAATCCAACGACTCAACGCAACGAATAAAGAAAAACAAAATGTATTGCAGTAGTTTTGTATGTAGTTTTATACATGAAGATGAAAATAAAGATATTTCTTTCGTGCCTTGTCTCGTACAGTCATGAGTGATTTCCAGGAACCAAGCGACGCACAACCACACGCTGAACCACAGGCACAGCCAACCAGAAACGCCCAAGAGACAGGCGAGGCAAATGTTCCTGTCCAGCCAGCGCTTCCCACTACGCATCAAGAGAGGGAGCCAGAGCGTGAGCAACCAGAGCAGAAGGAGCAAACAGAGCAACCAGAGCAGTTTCAGCAATCAGAACAACCAGAGCAACCACACTCCCCACACCCCGCACACAGCGACAAAGCCACGCAGGAGAAAGTAAACGCAATGTCGATAATGTTCCCATCGATTGACAAGGAAATTATAATTTCAGTGCTCGAATCATCCAGCTCACAGGAGAGGGCAGTGGAGAAGCTATTGCAGATGAGTGACCCAACACACAGCACACACATCACACACACAGCGCCAAAACCAGCGAGGCCAGTATCACAAATGAGGCAGATGGACGATGATGAAGCGCTCGCGCGACGCCTACAAGCGATGGATTTTGAGAGGAATGGCAGGGCTTCATCTACGCCGTACGACGACCTTGCGTACGAGCCACGCAAGCCTAGACGCAGGAATGAGAGGGAGTATGAGGAGGAGCACCAGAAGCAACATGAGAAGGCTGATTCTCTCGAACCTGGTTTTAACTTTAGCGATATTGCAAGCGCTTTCTCGGAATTGGCTTGGACGAGTAAGAAGCATCTAAACGATTTCTGGAGTTCGATGACAAATTATGGCGAGCAGGAAGAGGGACAGCCAAAGCCAACTCCAATTAAGCTGGAAGACCCTTACGCTCACCACTACGATCCCGCTATACACCGCAGAGCCAAGGAGAACAACAGACAGTCTATGAGTGTTAATTCGAATGGCAACGACAAATCAGCAGACTTTACAAACTTGGGATTCCTTCCTAGACGTGAAATCGACCTCAGCCAGCACAAGCGCAACAACAGCACGCCGCACGAGGAAGAGGAAGATGAGTATACGCACAATCCATTCAATGAACGTAAGTGATTGAATGGTCAAATACAATGTTTCTACATCTCTTTACATATGACTTTACATTCACGCTATGTCTACTAATATTGACACACTCACGCTTTGTCAAGCTCAGCATAATATCTGAAAACACCTTGCGAGTATGGCAGCCTTCTTTCAGAGGCCAGGTACGCAGCTATGCGTGGCTGTGACTTGATGTTATCGTAGAAAGGCTTGATGTTGGTGTAAGTTGGCAGAAGGGCGTGCATGCGCTTAGGGAAGGAGTAAAAGAGGCCGTCTAGCACCTGCCACCAGACGTAATCGGCGTAAGTAATGGAATCTCCAGTGAGATGCTTGTCAGTTTGTGTGTTTCTCCCAAGATTCGTATCGAGGTAGGTGAGGAACTTGGGAATGCGCTCCCTGCGGAACACTTCCGTGTAGCGCGCAGCCTCGTTCTTCTGGTCCTCGTAGTAGAGTGCTGAGCCGATGGGGTGGTGCGTGTTGTGCACTTCGTCATTGAAGTCGAGCCCAGTGAGTGCGTGTTGCGCTGTATGCATGTGTTGTTTCCCGCCGTCTAGACCCAATTTGGGTGCCATGTACATGAGGATGGCGGCAGTTTGCGAGAGTATGACGCCATTCTTCTCGTCTTTCAGGATCGGCGGGGCAAGTGGAGCGGGGTTCGCGCCGAGGTCGGCTGTGGTGTGTGAGGAGGTGTGTGTGTCGCTGTCCTATGCTCACCACTGCCATTCACGTACGAAAGCACCTCGTCTACTCCGCCAGGCGTGTCTGTCCAGCTAGCGCCGGCGTGCTCGAGACACAAACGTATGAACTCGCCGCGGCCGGGGATAGGCCAGTAAATGAGTTTATCTGGGTGGGGTGTGAGTGCGTGAGTGCGCATCACTACAAACCGACAATCTGCGTTATTTGACATTGGTGGTGATGGATAAGGTGTAGATGATTATATTACAACATTTATACACAGCATATGCCTACGCGCCAGCGCCCGTGCGCCTACACGGCTCTCGAAGTAGCTGCAGATGCAGATGCAGAGGCGTAGTAATTCGATGATCCAGTGCCCGGTATGCCACTACCAACGCCACTATCACCGCCACCAAATTCATTACCTCCATTCCCACTCACGCCCTGCACCACACTCCGCCCGCCATCCTCCACGCCGTCTGCCGGGCGCGTGCCTACGATATTCCCGAAAACCCCCCAAAGCGCAGCGATCGTCTTGAATTCCTTCCCAACGCCGAGAACCTCCTCCAAACGCCTTCCAAGCATATTGGAGTTATTCAGCGCTTGTTCAAATTCCTGTGCGTATGTTAGTATGATAGACGCGCTACTAGCCACCCTCACACCCGCTATCTCTCTGCTCAGCCGCTCCTTCTCTTTCTCGAACCACGTCGTCTCGTCGCTTGTGCCTGCGTTGGACGCCTCCAATGGTTCCCTTTCTAGCTCTAGTGAAGCGTCGTTCTCCATTGTTAACGAGAAGGAAATAAATAGTGTAAATCTATAAATTATAAATTATAAATTATATTCCATGACGTGTACCCATCGCATCGTCTGCTTCTTACTTCTTGCCTCCTTTACGCACGTCGTTTGTGGCTTTGTTTGTGTTTGCACCGAGTATATTTTTGTGGTGTTCATCGTGCACCAGCTCATGTGCCAACGAGGACTCGTTTGTCGTGAGATATTTGCTGCTAATGCCCCTGCTCATGAGTGGCTGAGCAAGTTTCCTCTTCAGCTCCTCCTTCTGCTTGTACAAGGTACCTTCTTCTCGCTCGTCGAGGTGAGAATGGGCTGCCTTCTTCTTCTTCTGTCCGCGAGAATTGTACTGCGTCTCTTCATGGTCGCTGTCCAACTCCACTCCGAGCGCTTCAGCAGCCTCCTTCTCCCACCCCGCGTCGTACTTGGCCTTGCTAGTTTTGTGCGTAGTCTCATCAATCTTCTTAGCCAGGTTGATGCGTCCCTTAAGTTGATCGAGGATGTTGAAGTGTATCTGGAGCTGTGCGAGGCCGGTGTCTTAGGTGTCAATGTTAGCGTGGAGTGTGCAGAATAGTACTCAACTCACCTCTGTTCAGCTGGCGCAGGAGGTCATTCGCCATGCGTCTCTCCTCAGGCGAGACAAGCAGCACAGCCAACCCGCTCCGCTGCGCACGCGCTGTCCTACCGCTGCGGTGAATGTATGCGTCGGCTGTACGCGGTACCTGGTAGTGCACGACGTGGTCAACGGCTGGCACATCCAGCCCACGCGCAGCGACATCGGTAGCTATCATCACTGCTTGTGGTAGTGTTTTGAATCTGTCAAAGTTGCGAAGACGCTGACGTTGCTGTAGTCCCGAGTGGAGAGGGAAGACGTGTTGTTTGAGTGTCTCGAATAGCGGCACTAGTCGTCTTATAGCGTCTATCGACGACACAAACACTAAAGTCTTGCCCGGGTACCGCAGTAGGAAATAGTATAGATAGAGATCTTTGTCCGTGGATAGACAGTCTATACGCGCTTCCTCCAGCGTCGATACCACCCTGTTCACTGGCGATAGATCTATTATCGTCGGCTCGTGATCGCGGAAATCTAGCCTCATCAAGAGATCGTCTAAAGACGTTTTGACTGTGGATTGCTTCTTCCCACTCCCTGCTTTGCGCTTCCGCTTGAGATTCTGCTGAAGGTCTTTAGAGAGGGTGGCTGAAAACACCATCGTTTGCATATCGTCAGTCGCAGGAACCTCTTCAGGCAGACCAATCTCAGTCGACTCAAACTCATCCTGGAAAGGCGCAGTTGAGGATTTGGAAGTACGCTGAGTCATGCGCAGTATTTTGTCCATTTCCTCGAAATGACCAGCCTCAATCATGCGATCAGCCTCGTCGATGACCAAAAATTGGCTTCTAATCGCACGTTTAGCGAGAGTGCCATTCTGAGTGTGTTTGTTAGCGTGTCTCAGATAGGAAAACCCCACTCACATCCATCAGCACCTCCCATAAACGACCTGGAGTTGCGACAACGATGTTGGCATGGACGAGCTGTCTCTGCTGCTTCTGTATAGACATACCACCAACCACAGTGGCGATGTTCACCCTCCTACTCACATGACTTACTTGTGGAGCAAACTTTCTCAATTCACCAGCCACTTGCAATGCCAATTCACGTGTGGGGCAGAGAATAAGCGCAGCAAGAGCCTCAGCAGGGATCTCGCCCTCTAAAATCCTCGATAAAATGGGTAAACCATAAGCTAGAGTCTTTCCAGAGCCAGTTTCAGCGACACCTATAACATCTTTCCTAATGAGGGATGATTTCAGGGATTCTTTCTGGATGGGAGTGGGTGTAGTGATGGAGTTGGAGTGTAGAGTGTGAAGGAGTGCTGGTGGGAGGCCTTTAGCGATGTTTAGATTATCTGGTGACCATTCAGGCATCTTTGAGACTGCAGCGTTGTATTGTGGTTCCTCGGCTTCCTCAGGTTCCTTATTCTTATCTTGGTTAGCCTCCGCTTCCTCCCTCTTCGCTTGCTTGGCAGATGCACGCTTCTTCTTTGCTGCCTGACGCTTATCGGACTTGATTTGCTCTTTTCTTGATTTTTTCTTTGCGGGCTGTTCAGCGTCGTCGGCCGTGTTCTCCAAAGCACCAGCTGGCTCGTCATCCTCGACGAAAGGGACATCGACGACGTTTTCGAGTGACGTTGGCTGGAGATGGCGGGAGATGGTTAGAGATGGGAGATACACACCGCCTACACCCACCTTGAGCTGTACTATACGCTCTCCAGAGTGTCCCTCGTGGAAATCAACGTCGACGCCTTCAATTTCTTCCAATCCCATCCATCCATCACCGAGAGCATCGTCGAATTTATGATCAACTTTCTTCCAGTTGAGATCTGATCTCTTGCGTTTAGATTGCGGCTTTTGTGGCTTTTGATTTGGGGCCATGACCGTTGAAACCAACGACCATGTCCGCGAGGACGGCAACCAAAGAAATCAGCGTAACAGCGCCAGTAAACATCGCAGTAATCAAGTGAGCTATTTAAATATTTTTATTCTCAATCCCAATTGATCAATTCCAGGTACTGGGGAAAGCGCGACGTTAAATTGAATCTGCCTACAAACAGCTCGCTCAGTGTAACTCTCTCACAGGATGACATGTGTTCAAAGACGCGTGTACACCTTACAGAGGATACCCACGTAGACACACTCACTCTCAACGATGAAGAAACCGCGATTGGCGAGAGACTTGGAAATGTACTCAAGCTTATGAGGCAGTTGACCGAGGACTCCTCCTTAAGACACACATCCGTCTCTATCCACTCCACTAACAATTTCCCCACCGCTGCCGGTCTCGCTTCCTCTGCATCAGGTTTCGCTGCACTCGTCTTTGCCTTGGGGAAGATATTCCTGCCATCATACACAAACACCCAGCTATCGGCTATCGCTAGGCAGGGCTCGGGCTCTGCGTGCAGGTCTCTCTTTGGCGGCTTCGTAGCATGGAATATGGGTGAGCTAGACGATGGCAGTGATTCGAGTGCTGTTGAGATAGCCCCGCAATCTCATTGGGATGATCTAGATGCTCTCATCTGTGTCGTCAGCGCGGATAAGAAAGCTGTCCCCTCGACTGCTGGAATGCAGAGGACTGTCGAGACTAGCCCTTATTTACGCCATAGAGTTGATCACGTGGTGCCAAAACGTATGCAAGATATTATCGACGCTATTAAAGCCAAGGACTTTGATAAATTTGCTGATATCACCATGAGGGATAGCAATAGCTTCCACGCAAGCTGCTTGGATACCCACCCACCCATCTTCTACTTGACGGATGTATCGCGGTTGATTATCGGTATGGTGCACGCACTCAACCAAGCCGCCGGAAGGGCTGTGGCTGCGTATACTTTCGACGCTGGTCCAAATGCTGTACTCTATGTCCAGAGGAAGGATACAGAGATGGTGTTCGCGATAGTCAGCGATCTCTTTGGAGACGGGGCCACTGATCACGCTGACCTCCTCAACCAATCAGGAATCAACATAGACCTCTCCACCTTTAAACACCGCAACGGATTGTCAAGAATAATAAAAACGTGTATCGGAGATGGGCCACGCGTAATTTAAAATGTAAATCAATTTTCACATAATTACATGATTATTTGATAACACTCTTACGCGTAACGACGACGCGTCGAAAAGAGCAAGAGGCCTGGTCGATGGATGACCAATTCAAGCGTCCAATAAACGCAAAGAAGCGGGTGCTCGAGCCGACGGCGAGTAATAATCGTGAGCATGAGCCTGAGCGTGAGCGTACGAAGCGTGTCAAGGTAGACAGGCAAGGCGACCAAGACTACATCAGAAAGTGGACGCGTGCGTTTAGGAATATCGTTCTCTACTTTGATAAGCCACCGGAGAATGGAATAAAGGGGGACATAGTACAAATGGCTGTTAAGCTAGGTGCAGTGAGTGTGTTTCCGTGTTTTATACGCTCACCTAACCCACACGCTTCAGAGCGTCGACGATTTCTTTTCCAACAAGGTGACACACGTGATTACCTCGCGGGAGATACCCAAGGCGGCTACCGACAGCACCAGCAGCACCAAAGAGAACAAGCCAAAGGTGCTCAGCAGACAGGCGACGCCGACATATGGCGACGAGGCCGTCACGGGCAGCGCAGCTTACACAGTCGTAGACCCACTCAACCACACCCAACACAGCATCGTAGATACCCAGCCCAAAAACCCCTTTCTCGGCCCTATTCAACAGGCCGACGATCTCCTCCTACGCGCGCAAGAATTTAAGATTAAGGTGTGGAGTTATCCCAAGATCTACAACATCCTCCGCCACCTCTTGGCGAATGACACGGGGGGGAATCCACTTTCTCATTCTCAAACGCAGGCACATGCACATGTGCATTCTCACTCACATTCACACGCCACCGCGCGCGAACAGAGTCTGAAAGCAATGCTCAAGCGGGAGAAACTGCAAGGAACAACCGAGCGCGACCGAAGTGTGCGCCAGATCGATCAGTACTACTTCCCGCGCAACGTGCGGTATGTATTAGTAGAAGACGCTTCTGAGACACACCGTCCAGTGCTGATACAGGAGTACGCTGTGCCGCGCGCAAACGAGGAAGCGGCCTGGCCGATTTTGTTCGCATGCCGTGATGAGCGCAACCCGTTCACAAAGTATTACCAGAATGAGGCACCGTTCGATGGACGCGTATACGCTAGTAAAGGCTGGGGAATGCAGGAGCACGTCAATTACGTTGTCGAGGCTCAGCTAGCTAGGTTGTGTAAACAGGGCGTTATTACTATGGTGGGTAGTGGGCAGCACGGCGAGCAGGAGATGGAGTTGGAGCAGGATATGGAAGTGGATCAACATCACCATCAGGCGCAACTGCAAATGCAAATGCAGTTGCAGGAAGATGTCGACAAGAATCAGAATCTTATTCAAAGTCACAGTCACAGTCGGCAGAAGGACAAGGCTGAGGACGCTTATGCGGCTGCATCTGGGAACAGCGTTACTATCACCTCCACGAATGCTACGTCTCAAGCTCAGGCTGCACGTGTACCCGGTCAGCGCGATAAAAGAGTCCTGCAGCTCGATAAACGCACGACAGAGCACCGGCCCAAGACTGCACAAGCGAATGCACAAACACGTGCAAATGCAAATGCCCGTTCGAGAGAGGCGGATGCGAATGCGATTGCGAATGAAACTGCGGTGGCATCGACATCGACGTCGACTTCAGCATCAGCGTCGGCATCTGCAAACACAACATTGTCCACACCCACCACCACTAACACAACAACAAGAACGACACCACGCAGAGTGTCCGATCACTCACACGCTCCCGCTCACACGTCTTTCGCACAGTTGCTCCAACATAGACGCAGCTCTAGAGGTAAAGCGGTCGTCGAGGATAGCTCTAAACCTACCAACGCAGCACAGGCACTGCTGAGAGCTCGCGAACATAATAAATTTGAAGAAAGCGTAGCTGCTCTTAAGAATCGAGGTGCTCATGATGTCGTTGATGATAATTTTGATAGCGCTAATTACAGCGCTAATGAGAGCGTCATCTCCTCCGCACCAACACCACCACCGAAAGATATTCTTGCTACCAAAGAAGCTCGTGCTGCTTTCAAAGAAGTCTTGCCGAGGAGGAAGGTCCCAACGACTAAACCACCTAAAGAGCATACTCAGTCCGGTAAAACAACTCAAACAGCGCAAACTAATGATTTAATTTCTCCCAAAACACAACACACTCAACAAAAGGAAACTGCACCATCCAAGGAAGAAAACAAGCAAGTAGACAAACAAGTAGATGCACAAGTATCCCAGGAAACAGTTGATATGTACAACCATATGGAGAAGCTCCAAGCGAAACAAAAGCACAAGGAGAAGCTGAGCAAGCGGCAAGAGAATTTCAAGCCGGGGTATTGTGAGATCTGTCGAGTAAAGTTTGAGGACTTCGATAGGGTGGGTTAGGTATTTTTCTCGTGATTAAGTTGTGACGCTAACATTTCCATCTAGCACATTAAGACATCCACACACCAGAAGAAAGCGACCGACCCTAAGATATGGAGTTCACTCGACAGTTTGCTGACCCAGACTGTTAGGCCGCCAGCAAAGGATCTCCCACCCATCCCAGTGTCTCCTCCTTCTCCGCCTAAGAAAGTTAACATGCTTAAGCGGCTCGAGAAGAATGAAGATGACGTCGCTCATGAGGAGCTGGAAGAGATGATATTGAATCCACATGTGCCTTTAAATGTGGAATCCACGTATATACAGAATTCTCAACCGACTACTGTTGCTACGACGCAGACTATGTCGCAGTCTCAGTCTCAAACACAGTCTCAAACACACTCGCAATCCTCCAAGAAATCTGCCGAGAATGCTGCCGTAAGTTATCTAGAAAACGTAGCAGAATTCACCGAGCAGAAGGATGGGAATGTTGCTGAGCCGGAGCAGGTTGATGGTGGTGTGATTGATTGTCTTTATTCGCATCAAGTTCATCAAGCTCACCAACAACCTCCACAAGTAGACACTTACAAACCAAACAACTACCAACAAGAACGCGATGCAGGCTATTACCACGGTTACGACGATTTGAGCGAATTTTCCGCAGAACAATACCAGCTGCAGAAACAGATAGCAGACTACGACGTCGAGGCTGAGTGGAATGCGATTCAAGATATCATCAATCCACCGACCAACACAAACAACAACACCAACAATAACACTCACGCTCACGCCCACGAGCTAGACCTGCCAAGAACCATTACGCACGAAAGTATCACGCGCCAAGACATCCTCAGTCTGATAGACGACGATGGGCGAACAGTGCAGGTGTACGATGACGGCGATGGCTATGTGGAGGAAGACCAGCTGGAGGATGGCCACGCTCACGACGACGGAAAGTTCAAAGTGGCTAGTCCGGAGATGGCAGAAGCACCTAGATCTTTCAGTGTTTTTGAAGCGCCACAACCGCCTCCATTGACTCGCTCAGGCGGTAAGATAGATTTCGTACACACGCTTACAGAGGCCTTCAGACAGATGTCAGACTCTAATGACCACCAACAACACTCACAATCTCACCAGTCATCATCTCACAGCCTTGTTGAGCAGCCACTATATTAACACTCGCATTTCAAACTATTTATGGCATTAAACACACTCCACACACTAAACACCTAAGATATAATTGTCGCATTTCTAATCATAATACAAAGTCACGCATTTCACTTCTTGAGTCCGTTAATGAGCTCGATTTCGTCATTCTCAATCGTCATCAGCTCGCCTGGAGAGGCAACATCGCCCGTGACTGCGCCCTTGACGACCTCGTAAGTGAATCCAAGCTTGGAAGAGGTGTTGTGCCAGAAGTGGATCGACACGGGCTTAACGACGATGACCATTATACGAGGATCGTCTTTATCACCCGTGTGCTTTCCATCGCCCAAGTCGCCGAACCAGGCTTTGAGACCTGGGTTCCAGACGCTCTCAATCACTTTCTGGTCCTGTGTGACAGTCGCAGTGCCTGCGAGGGATGCCCAGTTGGTAGACGCTGGATCGTAGTAAGAGATGTTCACGTGGGAGTCGTTTTCGAATTCCTTGGTTTTGCCACTCTTCACATTGGCAATATAGTAGAAGGTGAGGTGATCCACTGAGACTGGAGTCATGGCGCGCGAGTGCAAGAAGCTGTCTGTGTTGCGCGAGACGAGCATCGACGTCTTCACTGGCTTGATGATGCTCTGGACGACGTCAGCGTGGTTGGTGAGTCGTGCGCTAGCTGGCTTACGTGGAACAGGTCGAGCTTCTCTTGTGGTGTGGCGTTTGTGCTTGACTTGGCGCTGTATGGATCTGACATTATTCTCGTTGTTGGTTGTTGTAAGCAGGAGTCAATTCGCAATTTACCATGTGGAGCGCGGCGATCCATACGTCATTTCACCACCCACTCCAGCTCAATAGAGTAGTTAGGAGATATCAAAGATGCAAAATAGATGTCTCTACAGTCGTAAAACAAGACAATGTGGAAAAAAGAATACTTCAAGATAATTAATGTGACACAAAAAGCTTTCGGCCGGAATCGAACCGGCGACCTCCGCGGAGCAACTGTTCATCTTGGAAGATGAGCCGGTGTTAACACGGCGCTATAACCCCTAAGCCACGAAAGCGATGATTACAGACTGTTTTTGTATAACCCAAATCAAAACTGTGCAATCTTGAAAAATCCAATTAATCATTGCGGTAGTTTGCCGGGTTTTCGCCAGGTTCAGAAATAAATGTATCTTATTTTCGTTTCACGAAGCTAGAAAATTTCAATTAATGCTTCGTTTAATTCGGAAAAGTCGCGATTTAGGAGTATTGCGGGTTTTGAAGGGCAAGAACACAGTCCAATCTTTTATTTTTGCCTTTAATAACTTGTGGAAGCCACTCATTTCGTCATACCGAGTACAATGTTATAATCATGCAGTCGCTGTAAAGAAAGATTACATTATAATTAGAGATTTACTGTTCAAAACCACATAGAATTGCTCTAGACAATTAAAGTAAATGTTATATTGGAAATTCGTATGCATTTTATCCTGATGTTAGATCTTTACAGCAAGTTTAGCCTCCACAGGTGAAACTTTTATGAGAACCAATTGAGCACATGAATTTAAGCAATGATACACTGAACGTCAGATATTTACATTTGCAGGTAAGAACGATATCTTGCTGCCTTGCTATAGCCAAGACTGACTGGGTCAGCGTGCAAATGGTGTGCATACGATACGCAGTCCAACGTACTTGCAAATATCGATAATATAGAGCGCGTAGCTCAAACCGGTTTATAAAACAATCCCACCAGCACATCACGCTGCAAAAGATACCGCCAAGTGCGATTAAAACACTCGTACCTCAATGAGCGTGATTTGCCGCGACATTTCATCACATCGCGCCATCGTTTCTTACCCCTCTACGCCAACATCAAAATGAGAAGATTCGAATTCATGAGCACGCGGCGGCTGGAGGTGCTCGCTGGGAGTAAATACAAGGGTTTCATCCGGCAAAGTTATGATCTAGGCGTGCTCATCTCGATATCATCCGCATTCTTCACCGCCGCAGTTGTTCTCAAGGACTCCTCCAGCGTTATCAAGGCGCTCTATAATTTATTCAGAGGCGCATCAGCGCATCTACACGCAAGACGGTATGCAGAAGGGCGTGAATCCGAGTCTCTCGCCGAGAATCTCATCATCAAGCCAGTCGTGAGTGTCATACGCGATAGACGCGCTCGTTTGACCCACCCCAGCTGCCAGGCTGGACAAACCCGCTATCCGACCTACCCATTTTCCTCCTTGCCTTTGTGGTCGTGCAAGTATTCCACGAGGCCGGTCATGCCTTGGCGGCGCTATAGTAGGTTGCATTGCGTTGCGTAGGGCAGACTAATATTATCTATAGTGAAAGCGTCGATATAGTATCTGCAGGTGTGGCCGTAGCATTTCCGTTTATACCAGGAGCATTCGTTGCCCTATCCCAATCGCAGCTGGCAAACATATCCCTCAGGCCTCGCGCCAGGATCATTTGCGCAGGCGCTTACCACAACTTTATCCTAGCGCTGCTACTGAGTGTGGCTGCGTATATTTGCAGCGATCAGCTTTTCATCTACGTTGGTGACTATGGCAGATCTGTCACTGAGATTTCGGAGGTAGGCTGTGACTCGAAAGTGTCCTTGAGGTTTTCTCGGGATGGCACGGGATACGTCGCTAACTAAAGCACAGAAAAATAAGCTCTATGGGTATATACATCCCGCCGCTATAATTACGTCTATAGACACGGTTAATTTAGGTAGGCCCAGTGATGTAGATGAGATGGACGTGGATATTTGGGACGATTATCTTTTGTCGAGAACCAAGGAGCCAAAAAGCCATTACGCTTGGTTAGTCGATTTAGCTGTGTTCAACTGTAAGTGGAGTCGTCCTGATGGAGGCCTCCACTCACAAGAGCACTCCAACAGCCTCAGAAACATCATGCTGCCGGAGCGCCAGCTTAGAGGAGGCTGTAAGCGGTGCGGGTTGTTTTGTAGCCCACCAGGCAACTCTGCTTGCCAACCGCGAAGCCTGTTTAGATCCATCCGAAGTGATGCTGGGAGAACCCGTAAACTGTCTGGAAACAGACGAGGAGAAGTCCGTGTGTGTGCGCCCTCACCCGCTGTCACACATGCTGCGCATTGGATACCTCGGGAAGGAGAATGAGCGGGAAAGCGTTGTTGTCCAGAGCAGCAAGCGCTTTCTGTGGGAGACTTGTGGGTGCAGCGGATGTAGCGGAGCTGGCTGACACAACCTCAGTGAAAGTGTCAGACTACGCATCTCGATATCCCGCACTGATGCCGGAGTACTTGATCTACCTTCTCTCAACACTCGCAAACTACATCATTACACTCTCGGTGACCTTTGGCATGGTCAACATGCTCCCGCTGCCCTTCCTCGACGGCTCCGAGCTTGTCAACGCTGTACTCCACTCGTTCAATCTGCCCTTCTCCAGGCCATGGCGCAGCGACGCGATTGAGCTGGAAGTCGGGCGCTCAGCCTTGCGCACACACCAGCGAGCCTCTCAGCGAAGGCATTATATGTGGCTATTGAACGCAGTCACGTTATCGTTGGTGGGATTCGCACTGGGAGGCTCCCTCCTGCTAAACCTTATCGACAGTACTGTGTAGTGTATTATAATGTATAAATCCTGTAACGTGTCACGATCGCGAGTGATGTGCATAAAGTAAGTGAGGATTACGACGCTGCACAGAAGACGTCCAAATGCACAAGTATAACAGGCTGTCCATAAATTGGTGCCGAAGTCAAAAATATTCGTCAGCTACAGGATTCGAACCTGTGATCCCAAAGAGAACTTGATTTCGCCGTTCGAGTCAAGCGCCTTAACCACTCGGCCAAACTGACATGTACATACGATTTCCTTTATTACATATTTGTCAGCTAAAACGGGCAGAGCTGACCTGCAGGGCAGGTGCGTAACAGCACAGTGAGGTGGTTCAATGTAATTGAGGTTCACCAAAAATTCAGAAATTAAGACGCTAGTCAAGAAATGTTCCCAGTAAATTCAGCACCGCCTTTGACTCCTCATGCTTTAAGAAGTATTGATGGACGCAGTTTAAACATGTATCGTCTTAACAAATAATCAGATTTAATTATCATCAGTGATTTTGCCGATGCTTATTTTGGACGGCGAAGAAAGAGAATCTGATACAACAATCAGTAAATCTTTGCACTTTGCTAACGTCATGCTGAGCGTCTAGAATGTAGCATGAAGGAAAGGAAAGAAATAAATATAGTACAAAGTTTAAAGTATTCGGTGATTTCACAACGCTGCGACAAAATTAGAAGCAACGCAATTTGCTTTCTGTGGGATGTGGGTCAGCGGGAACAAATCAACAACTCAAACCCACTTCTTTTCTGCATGTCTTCGACACGCTGCTCGAGCTGGGCTCTGGCTCTGTCTCTCTGCGACCTCTCCTGGTCGAGCTTGAGTGCAGACTGTCTCCTCTCCTCGACGACGCTGTGTCTGGTACTATCGATCTCCTGCTGTTTGCTATCGATCTCTTGTCGCAGTTGGGTGACTTGCGCTGTCGCCATGTCTCTGTCCTTAACCAGATCGTTCATGTTCACGCGCGCCTTTCTTAGAGATCTCTCTGAGTCTGTAAGTCTGTCAGCAAAATTAGGTAATTAAGCATGGTCACTCACCCATCAATGCATTCTCCAACGTCTGCACGAGATCGATGTTCGCCTGGAGATCCGCCTCGCAGTGGTCGAGTTGCTTGGTAAGCGTCTTTATCTGCTGCTCAGCTTCCTCCAGCTGCTTGATACTTTCTGGGTGCATCTCATTCTGCGAGCGGATGCTTGCTGCACTCTCCGGACGTGATGACGTCGACTGTCTCTGCTTACCGTTCTGAGGTGGTGGCGGTGGGGGTATCGACGGTGGCGGTGTCGGAGGCGGAACATTAGATCCGCCTGAGTTGCCTCTAGACAAACGTGGAGACTTTGGTGCTGCATCTATTAAAACCGGCGATTGTAACTCGTTCTCCTTCATTCTGACATTTTCGTAGTCCTTCAACGCACTCTCCAAACGTAATCTGTCATGCGTGAGGGATGAGATTTCCTCCTTCGATCGTGTCAGTTCGAGTTGTTGGTATTCATACGAGTTGTTGCGCGATGTAAAGTCGTTCACTTCAGCCTGTAGTTCATCTCTCTCGACCTGCAGACTATCTCTCTCGTTGATGGCACCTTCGATCGTCTGGAGAGCTTCCGCAAAGTTCTTCTGATCACTTTCGTTACGCTCCTTTTGCATTTGCAGCTGTGATCTCAAAGCAGCAACCTCGTCAGCATTTCCTGCGCGTTCGTCCCTCTCAGCATCAGCGTTACTAAGCTGCTCCTTGAGCTTGATGGTCTCAACTTGTTGTCCTTGCATACTCTCCTTCACAAATCGCAACTCCTCCTCCAGCGGGTTTGCAACATCTTGGCGTTCACGATCGCTGACAACCTTCTCATCATACTCCTTCCTCATACCCTCGATGACTTTTGCATACTCGTCGTGCATCTCGCTTTGAGCGTCACTTGCCAAAAGTGATGCTCTCTCTAATTCATCTTTTTGTTTTCTGCGTAGCTCGCTTATAGTTTCTTCGTGATTGGATGTCATCCTGTTCTTCACTTCTTCAACCTCCTTAATAAGACTTTCGTTGGAAGATTTGAGTACATTGACAACTTCTTTATACTCCTTTTTGATTCCGTTGAGTGAATTCTCGTGGGACATCTTGATCTTTTCTATAAGACTTTCACGCTCAACGTCTTTCTCTGTCTTGTTAGACATCTTATCGTATTCCAAGTTGGTGTTGTAGAGGACCTCTTGGTGTTTAGCTTTGACACTGGCAAGCTCGATGGAGTGGGCGTCTGTTAATGTCTTTTTTGCTGTAGTGAACTCCTTCTCGGCTTCTTCGAGACTCTCCTCCAATTTCTTGAGTTCATTGTCGCGTCCTTCGAGTTGATTTCTGTAAGCTTCTACTTCGGTAGACATGTTGGTAATCTGCATCTTGGTAAGCGACTTCAAGTCTTCATTCTGACGCTTTTCGAGGTCGTATGAACTTTTCAGTCGCTCAATCTGTTCACTATGGGCAGACTCCTTAATTGCCATGGAGCTGTATGTTGTGAGTTGAGTTGATATCATGAAGGTACACGTACGTCATCAACTCATTGAAACGAGCGATATGCTCTTGTTTGATGTCCGCGTCTTTATCACCGTCAACATCACTGTGACTGTGACTGTGACTTTCAAACGCGACATCACTGCCTGTGCCCTCGACCTCCTTAGCACTACTAGCCCTCTTCAACTGAGGAATCTCCTTTTCAAGCATGTCAATCTCGTCATCTCTATCCTTGAGAGTCTTTTGAAGTGTTTGAATTTCTCTTTCAAGACTTTCAATACTCCTTGAAGGCGAATTGTTCATGCTAAGTCGAGGACTGACTCCTGGTGACGGAGGACCTGCCCAGCTCGAACGCGATTGACGATGCGAGGATAATTCCTGGGATAATAACAAGGAGGGTGTACGCGCATGTCCATTTCCTTTTTGGGTTGTTGGAGGTGCTGATGGTGGGGGTGTTGAGCTTGTCGCTGGTGTCATTGAGCTTGTTGCTGGTGTTGTTGCGGATGTCGCTGCCGATGTCGTCGCCCCTCCATTCCCACCTCCTGTTACGAGGGGCTGACGACCAAAAAAAGCCGATGTCCTTGCCAAATTGGTTGGTGATTGTAAATTCTGCAGTGAATTTCTGCGTGGAATAGAAATACTGTTTCGTTTTACATCCTTCACTGCTCCAGATCCAGATGGCAAAGTTATACCACCAGACTCAAACGATAACTTTCTTCTCAATTTTCCAGTTGATTGGTCAACTATGTGAGTTGCAGGTTGAGAACCAGTCGCGATAACACCATCTTCGTTGGTGTTGATTAATTTATGCTCTTCAATTTGTCCAGTTAATTCACCAATCTCCTTCAATGCATCGCGATATCTGGATTGAAGGGTGTCTAACTCGTTGAGTGTTTTTTTGTGCAACATTTGTATTTTCTGTAATTCAACTCTCAATTCTACCAATTCAGATTTGAGAATATGTTCATCTTGTGATTGACTCTGGCCTGGCGTATTTGGAGGTGTTATCTCTTTAACACCATTACCAATGCCATTGGTGTTTATCTTTCCACCTTCCAATTTGAACGCAGTTGCGATCTTTGTCTTTTCAGACTCCACTTCCCCAAGACGTCTAAGGGCATCATTACGTGCAAAACCTTCTTGCTCAGCGGTTGTTCTCAGTATGGTGCTCTCTTCAAACAGTTTTTCCCTCTCGTTGATTAATTCCTCTAGTCTAACCTCCATATGTGCATGCTTCGCGTTGGTTTTGTCGACTGTAGCAAGAATAGCCTTACTGTCATCACCGTCGTTATATAAATTGAGGCGTAGTTCAAGTTGCTCAAGCTGCTCATCACGCTCATGTGCCTCTTTCTCGAGCATCTCCACCTTTTCAACCAAACCAGAATTGAGATGCTCAACACCATTCAGCTTACTCTCGACATCGAGTATGTATTGCTCATTCTTAGATTCTAATTCACGGTGTTTGGCGAGTTCTTTCCTGATATCAGCGAGAGCAGCGGCAGAGCTTTCGTCGCCTTCTGTTAAAACCTTGAGCTGACTCTCAAGGTCCTTAACGTAAGCTTCAGTGGTGGACTCTCGAGTGATCAACTTTTGCAACCTCCCATGAAGTTGTTCAATTAGATTAGTCTGGTTCGCCTCTCTATCGGCAAGCTCATCAAATTCACTCTCTCTTTCGGAGTAAACCATGTTGGTATGACTAACGGCAGCTTTTGTCAGCTTAAGTTCAGATTCTAGTGTATTTATAGTACGCTCATACTCCTCAATCACCGGTGCTACCATTTCTGCAAACGATGAAGCTTTCTGTTGTACATTTGGAGAATCTTCGGCGTTAGAGAGTTGTAAGCGTAAGTTTTCCAGTTCAGAAGTAGACTCTTCATATTTGTTTTCTAGATGTTCGACTTGTTCTTTAGAAGAGTTGGTGGAGCTTGAGGTGTCAGGTATCTTACCTGCTCTGAGGGTACCCAATTCCTTTCTCAGCTTTGTGACAGTACTTTGTAACCATTCAATGTCCTCCCAACCAGCATCAACTTGATTAACTTCAGCCTTGTTTTTTATATTCCTAGCTCTATTGGCGTACTTGAGAGTATTTATGGTTTCGCTTGTATTGTACTCTGCAGGACTAACACAGGCAATCATAGTGGTTTGAGCATTGCCACCTAAGCTGTCTTGTAGGAGGCGGGTTAACTTTGAGTCTCTGTATGGTATATAAGTTTTTGCTCTGGCTTTAGAAGGGTCACCGAGAGCGCTGATAACATTACCGAGTGCGAGTAAACCAGAATTGATGGATATAGCTTCACTAGCTCTAGCACCCTCAGCAGCTGTTCTTTTTAATCTTTCAGAACCAGCTAAATCGACGAAATGAAATTTAGAAGTAATTGTAATGTAATTACCATCATCTTCATCTTGGATGGGTTTTTTAGCTGGTGATGGAGATCTGTTGCTCATACTAGATGGTGGACGCAAGCCAGATTTGAAAGAAGAAGTAGGAGTTGAAGGACGATTAAACGAAGGGGAAGCGACCCTTTGAGCAATACTTGAAGAAGGTCGAGAGCGAGGAGTGGAAGGAGGATTAGGAGATGATTGAGGAGGATGACCTGGACCGACGTACTTCTTCTGGGTGAGAGTTAAAGAGAAGATGGCGTGAGAGCGAGAGGATTTAGCGTTCATCTCAGTCTCGTTCGTTTGGCGGACGTTGGAACCGGTATATAAGTTGTTGAGAACATCCTGTGAGGAGGCAACATGGGGTTCTCTCAAACCGGACCAAATGATGGTACCATTGGAAGCTTCTCTGATCGTAACGGGAGGTCTTTCAACACCAATTGGGCCAAGTAGGTCGACTAAATCTTCATTGTAGATTTCAACAAAAGAGTTTTTGAGGGAGAAGTCGACGCCTTTGGAATCGAGAGAGTGGAAGATGTGATCCACTGCCCTAGGGACGATACCGGTAGATGAGTCGATTGAGGTATCATGTGCGCTGTCTGAGATGCAAGTACCCATGGTATAGGATTTACCCGAGGAAGTTTGGCCGTACGCGAGGATAGTAACGTTGTAACCATCAACAAAGCTATTTACGAGATTATCAACGTTGTCGTTGTAGATAGTGTTTTGAGTGTCAGAAGGTCCGTGTACCCTATCAAAGGAGAAGGAGGAATTGTGGATGTTGATTGAGGAATTGGAGGAAGGTTCAACGACAGAATTCTGCCATCTTGAAGGAATTAAATGGGAGTCTTGAGTGGTTGTTGGCCTAATCCTGACAGCCACTTTGACAGAGGTGAGTGGTTTATTGGATGAGGACATGTTCTCGTGTTTACTGAATAATGTTTATAATATTCAATAATATTTAATTATATTTAATTATATTTGGTTATATTTAATGGTTTGAATTGAACAATGAGATGATGGAATTACTTGCAAGGCAACATACAAATGGACATGAGAATAATGATGATGGTCAAACTGTGAGTATTTATTTTAATTTTAATAATATTTAAAAATTCAAAACACAACAGACCCATCAACTATTCATCATCATTTTCTTGATCGTTATTGCCATCTTATTGGCTGTTTCCTCTGGTTTAATTTTACGCACTTGGTATTTACGTAGAAGAGCACTCCACCTTGGTTTACCCACCGATCAACCCCGCATTTTCCCTTTCTTCACCAATCACACTGATCATCCCAACAACTCCACTGAAATGTCAAATATAAACAATTTAGGCAATAAACCCGAGTTGTTTGAGGTTTTTATTGATAAAGACTCTCGCTCAAATGTCGATTATCAAAGACCTTTCGCTGCGACAATCTCGGTCCCGCAATCCATGACTCATATTTTACAATCTTCTGACAACTCTAACGATGAAAATAATCCCAGCCCCGGCTGGCTAAGCGCCGCTGCTCGTCTCGCCCTTTTCTCTAAACCGAGATCCAGATTCTGGCCCCCAATTTACAGAGGCAGAGACGACCAATACGAGCGCAGACAACGTCTTCAAGCCCTCGCGGATCTCTCACGTCAACGTCAAGAGGATGAAAGACAGCGCAGACTGCAACTCGAAAATCCCGTCAAATCACTCCCTCCTCCCATAAAAAACAACGTCTCTAACCCTACAATTAGCCTCTCGATGCTCGTCCAATTACCCACAAAACCTCAAGAAAATTCTCATCTTGATGACCTCCCTGACATATGCATAGGTCTCACTGAATCTAATCTATCACACAACTCACCAACTGACATTGAACATTTAGTTAGCATCTAACGTGTATATATTTGTAAATATGTACCCAGTAATCACTGTTGTAAACTATTCAAACTATTCATCTTGAATTTGGTATAATCTTTATTCTCCATTTCTTTGCATATCTTTACGACGTATCTCATTTAGTTGCTTGTGCATTTCATTCACTCCAATAACTAAAGCCTGTATTGCTCCTTCACCCAGTAACATTGTAGGTAAGTCATGTGTTCCTTCGTACTCCCCTTTATATAGTGCATGTTGTGTTTGTAACGTGTTCATTGCTGACAGGTACTGCTGATATAGTTGTTTGTAATTCTCATCATTGTTCAGCCTCTTGTCAACCCCTTTCATCTTGGGTTTTGGTGGCGGTGGTGTTGCTGAATCTTCTGACGACGTGTAATCTATCTTGCTTCGTTGTTTCGATCGAGTAGCACTTTCATCTGGGGATATCGTTAGTCATCTTTACCACTTAAAATCAACCACCCTCACTCACCCTTCTTCATTCGCTTTGAGGTTGTTGTCTTGGTTTGAGTGGCTGTAACATTTTTTGCTGCCTCCGCTGCTTCATCTTGGCGCTTTCTCTTTGCACTATCCTTGCTAGCAGCTGAAGATGAGTGCGCGGAGAGCACACTCGGACTCCTTGAGCCATTTGATGACTGTGTGTCTTTTTCTTTCTCCTTGTCCTTGTCCTTATCCTTATCTTTCTCCTTGTCCTTTTCCTTACCCTTATCTTTTTCCTTGTCTACATCCTTGCCTTTCTCCTTGTCTTTCTCCTTATCCTTACCGCTAGACGATGCATCCTTAGAATTAAGCATCGCCTTGGAATTGGCGGGTGACGGTGACCTGCTAACCTTCTTTCCTTGAGACGCACGCAGAAGGTTTTGTCTTGTTTTTGCAGGTGCAGCTTTCTTGCCATCTTTGTCTTTCTCCTTGTCCCTCTCCTTGTCCTTACTCGGAGCAACAGTGCTAGCAATACATTGACTAATTTTGCCCGTCTTGCGCCTCACGGCTGCCGCCACTTGCTGTTTCTCTGAATCTGAGTACTCACTCCAGTCGTCCACCCGTACATCATTCCACAATTCATGTTTGATGTGAAAGAGTGGGGTGGATGTCTGCATTGTTTTCTGCGAGTAGGCTACTTGGCTGAGCAGGTATTGGATGTCTTGAGGATGTGCGTCTAACTTGCTAACTACCTCCCCCGCTTCCATTGATCTCAGCGCAAGGAGTTGAACGACGCGTGTTTTCAACTCAACCAGTTTATCCGGATGTGTGGATGGCGTTGGAGGGTTAGCTTCTGTGTTTGTTGAGGTTGTTGAGGTTGTTGAGGTTGTTGAAGCTGCTGAGGTTGTTGGAATAGAAGCAGGCTTAGGTTGAGGTAGTTTCTTGACACCCATTCCCATCCCCACTATGCTTTTACCTCCTTTGCCATTCCTTCCTGTTGCAGGAGGTGTATCTAACAATACAGCTTTCTTGCTCTCCTTCTCTTTTGCAAGCTGATCCTGTCGCTGACGTAGTGTTGATTGCTGGGTGGAAATCGAGCGCTTGAGTTGGACAGGCGTGGCTTTAGTGATGGTACCGCCATTCTCGACGTATCTCTGCCTGTCACCATCGCCCCTGCCACTATCGACCATCTCAAAGGGAACATGATCTACCACCAATTCACCATTCTCAAGCCGCACGCTATTGAAATCATTTAGATTAATTAATTTATAATATTTCATTTAATTTAATTTCCTTCTTTAAAGCTTCTTGGATTAAATTCTGTTCGAGCAGTTGTTTTGGTGTTGGTCGTAATTTAACATCCTTAATCAGGCACTTGTCGACGAAATCTTGTGCGTTTTTCCCAAACTTTGTGAGCCTAGGTGGATCCTCATTTACTATAAATTGCAATAGATCAAGTATCGACATTACCCCCTTTGTCTTCTTCTTGGGCGCGTGTGTTTTCACCGACTGCTTCATAGCAACACCTTGAGTAACTCCTATAGTAGTTCCTGCTCTTGAAGAAGCCCTAGGCCTTGTAGCATTCGATGGACTCAGCGTTGAGTTGGCATTCAGCGTCAGATCATCCTCTCTACCCTCCTCCTCACTCTCTTCCTCTTCCACATCTGCAAATGGGAATCTACCAAGCGCTATCTCTATCATGGTAATTCCTAAACTCCACACATCTGACTTGACGGTATATTGTGCGCCCTGGATACGCTCCGGAGACATGTAGGTTGATGTACCTACAAAGGTATCTGCTATCGAGTTGATAAGCTCCCCGCTAACGCCAAAATCACATAATTTTATCTGTCCCTTTGAGTTTATTAGTATGTTTGACGGTTTAACGTCTCTGTGGATGATCCTATGCACATCATACAGATATGTCAACCCGCGCAGGACACTCAAAGCGATTTGACCAAAAACATCGTATGATACTGGTCCATGTTTGCGTATAATGCGATCAAGGGAGCTGTTTTGGGTGTATTAGATGCGTTCTTTGTGTTTTCTGTATATATTCCCCACCCTCTATCCATATATTCCATACACATACATATGTGCGGTCCCTCTAAATACGCACCGTAGAATTCAATTATGTAGTCAGAATGACAGTGATGCAGTATTTGTAACTCGCGCAGTATTTGTCTGCGAATTGGTGATTGGCTTTCAATGAGGATTGTCTTCTTCGCCATCGTCGTGTTGCTAGGCTCGTGGACAACTTTCGACACTGTACCACCATTTCCAGAACCCAGCTCATCAAGAACTTTGAGTTCATCACCCCTTATTTCCTTCTGACCAGTTGGATCGAGCAACGCTATTCTCTCACTGAGATCGTCCTCTGGTGATTGATACATTGGCGTATTCGTCGATGCTGGCTGTAGAGGCGGTGGTCTGTTTTTGCGTTGAGGCGGTGGCATTGGATGTGGTTGCTGCGACTGCTGTGAATGCGCCTGCTGCAATTCTCCCTTGTCCTCCTTCAACCTCTCTTCCCCTTTAGCTTTCTCCTTCTCCTTGGGTATCGATTTCTTCTCTTCCACTGACAGCTGCAGATTTTTAAAATTCCTCTTTTTCCTTATCGGTAATCCTAGCCCATTCGTCTCACTGAGATCTGCCATGTCACCTTGGTCGATGTGGTCCATGAACTATTTGAAAGGTATAAAATTTATATATCGTTTTACATTATTACACAGCACTTGCTCGTCTTTGGCTTATTTGTCACCTTCTTCTCCACTCGTTGCTCTCGTTGCTCTGGTTGATTGTTTTTTTGCAGTGGTGGTGACTGTTGCGTCGGTTGTTTAGTTGTCGGTTGCATTGGCTGCTGCGTTGGCTGCTGCATTGAGCTCTTAGCCATGCTTTTAGCCATATCCCCATGTGAGTCTTGTGACGGTGTCTTTGACATTTCCTTTTGGTGCGGTGTTAGTGTTTCACTTTTCGGCAATGCCATTTCAGCTATGTCTTCTGGTCGCGTTGATTGACTTGTGAGCTCATTAACGCCTTCATCTTGTGTGACTTGTGAATTGCGGTGATCTTGTATCGTATCCAACTCAATATCATCCTTGCTCACTCTATTATCTGCCTTTCTCTCAATATCATCGCGATTTCTTTCCATTTCCATCTTGCGAGCCAGAGTAGGCACAACTACATCATCCCAACTCTTTCCTGGTGGTAAGCTCGTTGATGTTGACGGTGGTACACTCCAAGGCGCTAAATCCACAACTGTCTCAGGCGTTGGTGGTCTTTGTGGTCTGTATGGCTCAGATGCTCGTCCTTTCACAGGCATTCTCTTTTTTATCTTCTTTTTTGGCTTGTTGTGGCTATCATACATTCCAAATGAGCTGTGACTACGACCACCCTGCGCTCTACTACCTTGTGAGCTATTAATTGCTTTCTCACCGCGAGTTGATTCATTTTCCTGTGTATCTTTGCCATCATGTCCAGGCTCATGTCCACCATCGGATCCACGTTGATATCCACCATCATAGCCGCGCTCGTACCCACCATAAATACCCTCCGCATTCTCATTCAAATAGCTTGTGTGACCCATTTTAGCTATCTCCATCATTTCGTCATCGTCGCTTCGATGTCGTTGATGCATCATTGTCAAGTTGGTATTAGCGCGAGGTCTCACCATTCTAGGTATATTGCTCTTGGTGAGTACATTCCCGCCAGGCTGTCGAATTTGTTGGGGGAACTTTATGTGTGCGTCTGTAGAGTGAATCAAGGCGTCCTCCTCGCTGCTGTCATCTGAAGCTGTACCATCTGGCATCTTCTCATGCAACAGTGATGCAGGCAGGGGCTCTACAAACGCGAAGTTGTCCCTGCTTCGACTTTGCTTCACTTTCGCTTTGGATTTGGGGGTTGGGAGGTTAGGAAGATTGTGTTGGTGATACTGATCATCGTGGTATTGATACTGCTCGCTGTGCTGCTCATGCTGACCGTAATGCTCATTGTACTGGCTCAGTGGCCCTGTAGCACTATCATTATGCGCCGACATCCTCCGCGTAATCTCAGTGCTCTCTGACTCAAGTCCTGCAATTGGCTGATATCAGAGACGCACGCGGGAATAGCCGCTGAACCCACTCCTCCTTAATGCTGGTACTATCTCGCCATCCCAGCGCCGCACTGAAATATCCATCGTAGTGAGTGTGCAAAGTGAAAAAGGTAAACGCAGACAAAACACAATTTACTTTACAATACCCAGTATCCGATGACAACAAGCAGTAATAACGCAACCAGTACTCTAACATAGCTCATTCTGATTGATTCTTCCACTGGCTCCTTACCTGACTGGTTCAGTTCCGGTGCTACCACTGTATGCTTCTCCAAGTCGATAAACAAGTCGCTGTTGAATATGAATGACTTGCTAGCTTCATCGATCAGTATCGTCTTCTCTTCCACCGACTGCGCGATTATGTCGAGTGATCTTCTGAACCAGCTTTTGATCTTCTTCACTTGAGCCGCGTTAGCTGGGTATTCTTGAGCAGGATCGAGCGGGGGGAAATCATAGAACTGCTTCGCGTCGAGCTCCTCCAGCTTGTACGCCTTACCCAGCTTCCTCTGTATGATCTGACCACCACTTAGATCGCCCAAGTATCGCACATAGGCGTGTCCAGCGAGCTGCAGCCCGCTAGCTGTCCTGATCCGCTCTCGATAGTTCTCGAGACTGCTAGGAAGCTGACACAGGACCGCTTTCGCAAAAGGATGGTCGCGCCAACTCACATCCCCTTTCAAGAGAACTCTCTCTCTCATCGAGGGCGATAGCAGGTTTGTCAGGTCGCCCTTCAAAGCCGGTGCTCGGGCTAGCACGTCTAATCTGCTCAGCGGTGACAGGTGTGGATCGCTACTGAGCTTCTGTATCGACGTCTCGAGCGTGTCGTACAGCTCATGAAGCCATATTGTGTATTTAACAAACGTGGAGAAAGGCATCTGTGCACTGAGCAGCCTCATCGCCGTTGGTGACTCGGCCACTAGATCGTGCGCTATCTGAGTGCCCGATTTGAGGAGCTTTGACGCTGGTGTCTTGTCAATTTCCGCGGGGTTCATGGCTGGATTGATAAGATATTGATCAGAGATTCGGTAATGGTAAATCGGACCATGTAAAATATAAAAATTGGGAAAAAATAAATTGAATAAAATATAAAGTACTTGTTGGCAAGGTCATTGGCTGTTTGCAATGCTTGTAATCCCTGCAAAGACCTCAACGTGTAGCATCAGACATGATGTTTCCGCGCAATCACACCAAATTGTATCATCACACTCGATATCGCCTAACTGAGTGCGTTGTAGCCTCTGAGAAGCGCCCAGCTGACGTTAACTGTGTGATTGGCAGTGCTTAACTACCAATTCCAGCCCATGCCGACGATGATGCCTTCAGGATCACAGCCACAGCCACAGCCAGCACCCGGCATCCTGATCGTCAGCGCGAGTGGCAGAGACCTCGCCTGCGCCCTCCCGAACACCCTCTCAGTGGGCTATGCGCCAAACACAGGAGAACGACTAACGGCCCACAGGAAGCGATGGCATCGGCGGGAGAGCGATGGTGTATACCCAACAACCTTGTTTTCAGATTGGGCGTAAAGGTGAGCCCGCTCCGAACAATCCACTCGTATCTTAGCCACGTGCAGAAGAAAGAGGCGCCCGGGTACCTCGCAAACACGGCGCAGGGCGACCTTATCATACTGGGCGACGACGCTGTGTATCAGGTAGTGAAAATGGGCAAGGTTCGACTGAGGCTTCTCCGTGACACCCCCACTGACAGCCGACACAGAGCGTTTTGCGCACCGAGATCCAGGTCTATGCTACTAAAGATACGCACGTCGCCGAGGAGAGTAAGTGGTGTCTGTCTGCTCTGCGCGATCGATTGACTCCCCGCTTCTGTCGGATAGAAGCACCACCGCCGCCTCCCGAGCCTGTGCCTGTGAGTGGAGTTGGCCGTGGAGAGACTGTTGAGTGGCTGACCGCGGACTCAGATCGGTATCACTGTTGAGAATGCCAAAGGGAAAATGTTCAGATTGAACACAAAGGCTTTACCGGAGGTGTGTCCGTACACGCACAAGCTGCCCTACTCACCCCGCAGGTTAACATGGACTGGTCGCAAAGCCAGGGTGGACAGACCATCGCCGGTAATTTCCTGGGCCAGCTCACTATCAAATCAAAGACAGATGCGGAAGGCAGGATTAACTTCCACGGGAAAGAGATAGAGTCGGGTGTGTAAAATTTTCATACACACCCAATAACCAAGACAATCTCACATCCAACCAGGCCTCAACTTCTCCAACCTTACAAGCGCTAGTGGTCAAGTCAAGACAGTTCAAATGCGCTCCTGTTCCAGCAAGCCATTCATACAGCTCTTCTCGCCCATAGAGCAGTTCCTGACTTTGGAGATTTGCCTCGCCAGCTCGTGGAAGTGTGTGTCGACATGGCCCACCTCGGAAATCAAGAAAGAGAACGGGAAGCAGACAGTTGGGTTTTTCCTGCGTGTTGGACCTGGAGGCGTAGTTGAGGATGTGGTTAGCGGAAGCAAGACTGCTGGATTGTCTTGGGAGGCTGTGTGAGTGGGGTTGTGTGTTCCTCTCATTCAAAACTCAATCTCAATTACAGTCCTGAACCTGGCACTGCACGTCTGTCGCCGGATGACAAGACACCATTCGACCCTGCGAATCCAGATCTGGTGGACTACAACGGCGTTCTCGTCCCTACAAAAGACTTTGCGACTAGATTGGACAAGATACTCAATGAGCAATTCCAGATTAATCCGCTGGTGAGAACCAGCTTCATGGCTGATATAGTGTGCGTGGGGAGAAGCCTTTATTAAACACACACTCTAACACACAACAGCCCACATTTACTTAGATATCCACACATCGCTTTTAGATTCCTACCCCAAGGTGAGACACAGTCATACTCAACCGCATCCACTAAACACACAACACCAGACTTCTACGAACCAGCTGCATCGCTTGCAATTCGACCAACGCCCGAAATAACAGGACGCGTATTTCTTCTCTGGCAGGGAGTCAAGGATGCGGGTAAGTGGAAGGCAAGCAAAAAGCGCGAGAAGATGCCCATCAACTGGGCAGAAATAGTGGGTTACAATGCAGCGCAGTTCAACAAAGACGCTCTATTTAGATGTGTGGAGCTGGGTTGGATGGAGGTAGTATAAGACACTGTCTGACACTACCACTGACACTATCACTATAAATATCACAAACACTGTAACTATAACTATCACATGGACTACCATGATATACCAATGCAAATAACGTCATTCATAAATTATCGTCTACTCTTGCCTCTTGCTATCGCTATCGATCTGCTTCACTGCTCTATGGGCTTCGAGGGTTGCTTGCGGCGGGAGTTTGAGTATTTTCGAAAGGGTGTTGATATCCTTAGTAGTGAGATTGGGGTGGGTTGATATGAACCGATCCAGCTCGTCCGACTCACGCGGGTTGAGTTGGTTGTTAGCGAGTAGTCTGCCCAAATAGACAGCTCCGCGATGAGCTCGCCAATGCGACCAGGCTCTCCAGAGGACATAGAAAAGCGGGAGATTCGGCACTACGGGTATGATAGCAACGGGGAGGGTGATTGGAGCGATGAAGAGGGCTATCCACATGGATCTGCGATGTCTAGCGGCTCTGCTGATAAAACTCGCTTTGACCATGTTGAGCAGGTCTTTGTCTGATATCACCGATTTGGGGTAGAGGATGTCCAGTTTGTGGGTGCTGTTAGGGGCCACGCTCTGGCCAGGCTCTATGTGTTTTAGCGCCCATTCCGTGTATGGCACTCTATCCATTACGCTCTCGCCACCATTCCACACGCGCTTCTTCCAGTGACCGTCTGCCGAATCACTCAGCTTGTTCCACTGCCTATCGCACCAGTTGATCGTCTTGGTGAGGTAGTTCTCCTGCAGCGCCACAGTAGGCGGCTGGGAGAGAAGCGTGATTTGCGGCGTGGCCGTTGTCGCTGTTGTTGCCTTGATCGGCAACGCCACCAAACGCAACTTATTCGACATGGGCGTTTGGTAAGAAGGGGAGAATGCGAGAGAATTCCAATGCAATTTTCAGGATTTGCTTTTGGCTGCTCAATAGCTGCTCCCTCATTCGCCAGCGGATTCCGGTCCGCGATAATCGCATCGACATCATCGACATGATTTCAGATCGGTAGAGGCACCGCGTAGCCAACCAACGATGATGATGAATAGAGCAGCAGCGACTAAACAACTCCTACGCCCGGCAATCAGGCGTATCAGTACAGCACGCCCACCGCCGATTAGATACGGCCTGTTATGCAGCGCAGGACTGGCATTCACATTCGCCGTGACAGCATCGAAGCTGTCGCTGGATTCAGACGCCCAGAATATTCCCCAAGAGGCCATATCACTCGCAAACCCCGCCAAAGCGCGCTACATAGCGTACGAGGAGATCGAGAAGCACAACAGCGCAGAATCGTGCTGGGTGATTATCGATGGACAGGTATATGAGTGGGTGGATAGCGTGCGGATTCTCGATATTTCACTCACATTTCCCCAGCGTAACTGATTTCCTTGCTTCACATCCGGGTGGAGCCAAAGTGATAGTGAAAAACTCAGGCAAAGACGCTACACAGCTCTACGCGCCCATACATCCAAAGGGAACTATAGAGAACAATTTGGCCCCGGAATGCCATCTCGGCGCTGTCGATCCAACGAGTCTGCCCGAGATTGAGGACGAGGAGAATGACGAGCAACGCAGGATACGCGCGGCTAGAGAGCACCTCCCGCCTCTCGGCGCGATGGTGTCTCTGGAGGATTTCGAGAAGCTCGCTACACAGATATTGCCCAATACGGCGTACGCATACTACTCGAGTGCGGGGGACGACGAGAACACGCTGCGGGAGAATGTCGATGCGTGGAAGCGGTACTGGTTCAGGCCGCGTGTGCTCGTCGACATCTCCTCGATCGACCTCAGTACTGTGGTGATGGGCGCGAAGAGTGCACTGCCTATCTTCATCAGTCCAGCAGCGATGGCCCGACTCGGTCACCCGCTAGGCGAAATTAACCTCACCAAGGGCGCTGCGCAGACCGGTATCGTCCAGGGCATCTCCAGCAACGCTAGCTGCACTCTGGAGGAAATGTGCGACGCGAGGAGCGAGGGCCAACCACTTATCTTCCAGCTCTACCTCAATTGGGATAGGCAGAAGAGCTTGGAAATAGTACGCAAGGTGGAACAGCTCAAGCTGAATGGAATCATGTTCACCGTCGACGCTCCAGTACCGGGAAAGCGCGAGAGAGATCTGCGCGCCAAGGGCGACTTCGACGACGAGGACGGAGGTACGAAGGGAGTGGCACAGGCAATCAGTGGCTATCAGGCAGCAGATCTGTCCTGGAAGGATGTCGAGTGGCTGAAATCAGTCACAGACCTCCCGATCATCATCAAGGGCGTGCAGTCGGTCCAAGATGCTAAACTCGCAGCCAAGTCTGGTGTCAAGGCTATAGTGCTATCCAATCACGGCGGCAGACAGCTCAATTTCGCGCCTGCTTCGGTGGATGTACTGAGGGAGATACGCGAGGAGGCGCCAGAAGTCTTCGATGAGCTGGAGGTGTATGTAGATGGTGGAGTAAGACGCGGGACAGACGTTCTCAAGGCGCTTTGTTTGGGAGCTAAAGGAGTTGGTTTAGGGAGACCATTCCTGTACGCACAAAGTGCATATGGAGAGCAGGGTGTAGTGAGAGCGGTGCAGAGTAAGTTTGACGACGCGTAAAAATACAGCTAACACATGAAGCAGTTCTAGAAGAAGAATTGGCAACGGGGCTTCGTTTGCTCGGTGCTACAGATATAAGCCAGCTCAAACCAGAAATGATAAGATATTTAGACAGAAAGATAAATGTTTGTTAAGTTTTGATTTGATATCCAACATGTGTGGATTGACGCGTGCTCCCGCTTCCCAACACCCATAAATCAAGCAAAACAAAGGAAATGCCACGTGAATTGATCAATATATCTGTGAGTAGATTTGTAGTCTTATTTACGCGCCACTAACTTCCACAGGCTGGACAAGCAGGTGAGTTGTACACAGCACATGTACGCGCACACACCTCTCACACAGCGCAGGTAACCAAGTTAGCAGATCGTTCTGGGAGACGCTCCTTATCGAGCATGGCCTCACCGAAGATGGCCACCTCAAGCCAGATACTACAGATATACAGACTGAGAGACTGAACGTCTATTTCAACGAGGTTGCACATGATGGCAAGACGCGCTACGTTCCAAGAAGCGTTAACGTGGATCTAGAGCCTAATACTATGGAGGTTCGTTGCCTCTGTCCCGTATAGCACCCCGCTTAGTTAACATTCCAGGTCCTCAGGCACTCCAACATCGGTGGCCTCTTCTCCCCAAATAGCTTCGTTAACGGACAATCTGGCGCTGGAAATAACTTCGGTAAAGGTTACTACACAGAGGGTGCTGAACTCGTCGATCAGATTCTCGATATTACGCGTCGTGAAGCAGAGAACACAGACTGTCTACAGGGATTCCAGCTTAATCATTCCCTTGGCGGTGGTACAGGTTCTGGTTTAGGTACTCTGCTCATGAGCAAGCTTCGTGAGGAGTTCCCCGATCGTATGATGTCCACATTCTCTATCATCCCATCCCCAAAGGTATCAGACACTGTGGTTGAGCCATACAACGCAGTACTTGCAACAAATCAGTTAATTGAAAACTCAGACTTGACTTTCATGTTGGACAACGAGGCGCTATACAGAATTTGCCAGAACACACTTAAAACTGATTCACCAAACTACGACAGCCTTAACGGTCTGATTGCTAGAGCAATGGCAGGTGTTTCAACATCATTGAGATTCCCATCTCAGCTCAACTCCGATTTAAGAAAGCTCGCCGTGAACATGATACCTTTCCCAAGATTACACTTTTTGTGCACAGCAATTGCTCCATTATCGAGCGTTAGGAACAGATCCTACCAGTCAACTAACATTCAGGATCTCACCGCTAGCTTATTTGACAGCAACAATATGCTTGCTCAAATACCAAAGTACGGTAGATATATGACAGCAGCAGCACTCTACCAAGGACCAATGGGTATGCGCGATATCGAGGACACTATAATGGCATATCAAGCTAAGAATGCAGATCAATTTGTTGAGTGGATTCCACATAACGTGGGTTTGATGTGGTTATAGATAAGGTGACACAACTAACAAAATACAGGTTCTCACTTCACACTGCAGCGTATCACCAATAGATTCCAAGACCGGAGGTACATTCATCGCCAATACAACATCGGTTCAAGATCTATTCCATAGAAACGCCACAATGTTTAGTGCCATGTTGAAGAGAAGAGCGTACTTGCACTGGTACACGGGAGAAGGTGAGTGGGGATGCGTATATATAGTAACTAGCTAACAATCCATACACAGGAATGGATGAAATGGAATTCACAGAAGCTGAGTCAAACTTGATGGATCTGATTGCCGAGTATCAACAATACGAAAACGCGGGAGCTGAGGACTACGACGAAGAGTATTACGAGGAGGAGGTAGTTGAAGAGTAGAGTTAATTATTTTTTTGTAATTACTTATATTTTCCGTTTAGGCTTATACGCGTGTAGAATCACTGCTTTATTTCCTGCGCTCAAGAGAGAGATGGACGTGAGTTCACTGAAAATGGAAATAAGCCAAAACTGATGAGAATTACAAGTCAATTCTTGATTTTAGTCAAGATATCGACGTTGGATTGCTAGATCGTGTTGTTGCTGCGTTCTTTGCCGGTGCAGGCCAGGAGGTGAGATTTTGGTTGGAGTTTGCGACAAACGCTTACAAGACGTAGCAACAAATGGCACAGCGCGTACTCACGCAATTTCAAGTTAGTTTGATGCGATTCAAGCCTTCACAGCTTACCCCTATCAAACAGGATCATCCAGACTCGTGGCAAAGAGTGCCTGCGATACTCGAATTGAGCCCGAGTCCACAGACTAAAGTGGGTTCATAGCCACACATATACTCCATCCTCGCTGACACTAACACCTCAAGTACATTGGCTTACAAATCTTGGAAAAGCTCATTCAAACAAAGTGGAAGGTCCTCCCCGTTGAACAGCAGCAAGGAATCCGTAACTTTGTCGTAAACGCCGTCATAAAGACTTCAGAGGATGAAATGACGATGCGTAGAGAGAAGACGTATCTCAACAAGCTCAATCTTATTTTGGTGCAGGTGAGTGGTTAATGTGCGTGTATTTATTCCCGCTAATCATCCTGTAAGATCCTCAAACAAGCCTGGCCTAAGGATTGGCCGTCATTCATACCAGAGATCGTTACATCCTCAAAATCTAATCTCAGCCTTTGCGAGAATAATATGGTCATCCTTAAGCTTCTTTCTGAGGAAATATTCGATTTCTCCGCTGAGCAAATGACTCAAGCAAAGACAAAAGCACTGAAAAACTCCATGTGTGGAGAGTTCTCAGAAATATTCCAATTATGCTCTGAAGTTCTTGAGAAAGCTGTAAAGCCATCACTTATCAAAGCCACACTTGAAACTCTCCTCAAATTCCTCAACTGGATTCCATTGGGTTACATATTCGAAACCAATATCATCGATATGCTTATATCTAGATTCTTGGAAGTACAAGACTTTAGAAACGTTACTTTCAAATGTCTTGCTGAAATTGGCGCTCTTAAGGTCACTCCAGAGTATGATGCCAAGTTTGTTATCCTGTTCAACATGGTCATGACTATTGTTAACAAAATGATCCCTCCATCAACTGATATCGCTGGTGCATACGAATCTTCCAACGATTCTGACCAAGAACTCATCCTTAACCTCGCACTTTTCCTCACAAACTTCCTTAGATCTCACCTCTCACTCGTTGAAACGCCAGAAAACAAAGACGTCCTTCTCAACGCCCACCTTTACCTCGTCAAAATATCTCAGGTTCCAGAGCGTGAAATATTCAAAATCGCTTTAGAATACTGGACAGTCCTAGTCGCGGAACTCTACGATGAGGTGCAACAATTGCCAATGGCTGGAATGAACCCCCTTCTTGGTTTGAATATGAACGTTGCTGGTGCAGCGAGTGGTCAGAATCTTCGCAAAAATATCTACAGTGAAGTCCTCTCTAATCTCCGTTTAGTCATGATCGAAAGAATGGTTAAGCCAGAAGAAGTGTTAATCGTTGAGAACGACGAGGGTGAAATTGTTAGGGAGTTCCTTAAAGAATCTGATACCATTCTCCTTTACAAAGAAATGAAAGGTGTTCTCGTTTATTTGACTCACTTGGACGTTTATGATACCGAACAAATCATGACTGAGAAGCTCGCAAAACAGGTAGATGGCTCGGAATGGTCTTGGTCAAATCTCAACACTCTTTGTTGGGCAATTGGTAGTATTTCTGGTGCGATGAACGAGGATACGGAGAAAAGATTCTTGGTTACAGTTATCAAAGATCTTCTTGGTCTATGTGAGATTAAGCGTGGTAAGGACAACAAAGCCGTCGTTGCTTCAGATATCATGTACATCGTCGGTCAATACCCACGCTTCCTCAAAGCTCACTGGAAGTTCTTGAAGACTGTCGTCAACAAGTTATTTGAATTCATGCACGAAACTCATGAAGGTGTTCAAGATATGGCTTGCGATACTTTTATCAAGATAGCTCAAAAGTGTAGAAAGCACTTTGTGATGCAACAATCAGCTGAACAAGAACCATTCATTGATGAAATTCTCCGTAATCTTCATCGTATCACAATAGACTTGGCTCCTCAACAAGTCCACACTTTCTACGAGGCCATTGGACAAATGATCTCAGCTCAACCAAACAAGCCTGTGCAAGAGAATCTCATTGCCAAGCTTATGGATATGCCAAACAACGCTTGGGACTCTCTAATGCAGCAAGCCGCAAGTAATGTTGATGTGCTTTCAGTACCAGAAAACATCAAGATCCTTTCAAACGTACTCAAGACTAACGTATCAGCATGTATGTCCATCGGCAGCTTCTACCTTCCACAGATTGCTAGAATCTACATGGATATGCTTGGTCTGTATAAAGCTGTTAGTGGTGTTATCAGCGAGACAGTTGCTGTTGAAGGCATCATCGCTACCAAAACACCAAAGGTTAGAGGATTGAGAACAATCAAAAAGGAAGTTTTGAGGCTGGTTGAAACCTACATCAAGAAGGCTGAAGATTTGGAGTTTGTCATTGCCAACTTTATTCCACCATTGCTTGAGGCCATCTTGTTGGACTATAATCGCAACGTTCCATCAGCAAGAGATGCTGAAGTTCTCAATGTTACTGCTACAATTGTGAATAAGCTTGGACCACTGCTTACAGATCAAGTACCACCAATTCTAGATGCTATCTTCGAATGTACACTCAGCATGATCAATCAGGACTTTGCTGAATTCCCTGAACATCGTGTTGGTTTCTTTACCTTGTTGAGGGCAATCAACAAGCACTGTTTCCCAGGTAAGTTGGTATAAAGCGATATGCGTAATTTTAACACACCTCACAGCACTCTTACAACTTCCTCCATCTCAATTCAAGCTGACAATGGACTCCGTCGTATGGGCTATCAAGCACACTATGCGTGATATTGCTGACACTGGTCTTTACTTGGCGCTTGAGGTTATTGACAACGTTCTGAAGACAGATCAAGGTGTTGCAAATGCATTCTTCCAAACATACTACCTGAGTATATTGCAAGACTCGTTCTATGTTCTTACAGACTCGGATCATAAGAGTGGATTCAAGTTGCAATCAACCTTGTTGGCTAGATTATACGGATTGGTAGCCTCGAACTCAATTTCAGCACCACTTTACGATCCTGCACAGGTGGACCCATCAACAAGCAATGCTATTTTCGTTAGAGATTACTCAGCCAACCTCTTAGCAAATGCCTTCCCTCACTTGCAACCAGTACAAATCCAATCATTCGTTACCGGATTATTCGAATTGAATGAAGACCCTGCTAAATTCAAATTACATTTGAGAGACTTCTTGATCCAATTGAAAGAATTACAAGGTGATCATGCAGGTGCTCCAGCGATAGATCAGGCAAATGCTCCAGGCGCTGCTGCAATAGAATTCGAGCAACAAGAGGAGGATAGAAAACAACGTGAAGCTGCTAGAAATGCAGTACCGGGTATGATCAAGCCTGCTCTGCTTGAAGACGAGGAACTCTAAACAAATAAAAAAGAACCGATTTTTCTTCATTTCTATTCCGACATTCAAGTAATATATTTGCATATATAAGAATTAATTATTATTTCATAGTCTGTTGAAGTGTGTACTTATTAGTGTTGAAAATGTGGATATCTGACTTGTATTTGAGGTACTGCTATGCGATAATCAAATCCAGTGATAGAAAGAAAAGTGAGCGAGTGATTATAGCATGATGATGTTTTTAAGGGTGTTATTGACACTCTACTAGAAACAATAATAACTGGCTGGAATTTGAGAATATGCATACTTAAAAAGAAACTTATACCTCTCAAAATCCAATGCTATCTTCATAATGCTCCTTCGTTTTTCATCCACAGCTTGTTCGATTAGATAGAAATCATAATATATAGTCAAAAGCGTTACAACGATTAATAATTTTCGCGTATCTACACTTCTTTTGCATTGAAAGCTGACAATTGTAGTGACTCAAAGGGACGCGGTTCTTGGCATGTGTGCCGTAAATTGGGATTTTACTACGTGGAGCTACCGGAGGCGGGCGGGTGGGTGCTGTGCTGGTTTTTGAAGAACTCGTAGAGAGATTTGAGAGCTTCTTCATTTGAAAGCATATATTTCATCTCGAACCTTAACCCCAGTCCATATATCCTCCTCCTCAAAAATAATCCTGCTTGATCGAACTTCCTACATCTGAAAATCCTGTTTGTGATACTGTCTACTTCATTGCACTTGCTGCAAAGTGGTGAGTCGGACAGTTTGAATCGGAATCGGTAAGACTTGGCAGTAGGGAAGTGGCCTGAGCGGATATGTGTGGCCACACTTCGCGTACCACGGGGAAGCTTGTTGAGCATCCTGGCCGCCTGTGTGGAAGTCATCCTACCCATTGCTCTCTCTGCATCTTTCGACTTTGGTCCTGGTAAACTACGTGCATCTACTCTCAAGAGAGCAGTGTGTCGCTCAAGCAGGCATTTACGGAAAGCGGAAAGAGCCGGCTTGAGAGTAAAGTCAATAGAGATCACAGCTGTTTCGAAATTGGCTGTGAAAATATTCACAAACACACCGTATACACTTTATTGAACTCAAATTCAACAACAAAATAGCATAGTAAGTCTCTTGTTGGGCTAGGAACTTGATTCCGCAATATTACAAGCAAAAACTGAAGATTTGGCGATTCCAGGAAAAATATGCGTAAAAAAAGACGAATATATACGTGCTTTTAAAAACATAATCATAAGCCTCGCTAGCTCAATCGGTAGAGCGTGTGACTCTTAATCACAAGGCTGCGGGTTCGAGCCCCGCGTGGGGCTAAATTTTTTGATGTTAAAACATTTTTGTATCATTTTGATGTGATATTTTAACGGGCTAGCATATTAGTTCTGTCGAGGAGTTGTCAATTGTGCTCAGTCTTATAGTATGACGGTAAGTCATATTCGCAAATGATGAACTTGAATGTAAATTTTGCTAAAGCGATTGCTCGGATTATAAGAGCTGGGTTGGTATTACGAGGTGATCTCATTCTGTAATCCAATAATACGATGTTTTTCAAATGTTTGTGTAATTTAGCGTGAAAACCAGCCAATCTGTTTCCGAAGATATCCCGGCCGTCGCCACTGAAAGTGATATCAGTACTGCAATCAACAGGTAACCTGGAATGCAGTCAAAGCCTTTTGAAATTCGGGAATGGGAACGGCGGGAGCCAATAGGTAATTATTGGGTTCGAATGGAAAAATGGTCAAATCATCGACAACTGTTGAGTATAAGATGCACAATTTGCTGGGTTTCACGTCATATATAACCAAATTAGGTGTATATGTGAAGCAATTCAGTAGGAACTGTACTGCCTGAAAATAGTAATATGACCTAGCGATAAAGCAATTCGAGCAGCTAGAAGTGAAAAAAGTGCGATCGAGCATTTTACGCCTACTTGATAAAAATTATTCTGTTTGGAATAACTCTTATGCTATTCATGAGCAACACAAGGGGCTTGAAGTGGTTGAGTGGGCGATCAAAAACTGCGTCATAGTGTTGTTGAAATTGCAGAGATAAGGTGGTGATAACAGATTATCAAAGTATCGGGGCTTAATAAACATTTGAATTGTTTGCATGTTACTGACAACATGTACTCAGAACTTAATTGAATGATAAGCAGAAGTAGTTCATCGGGTCATCTACTGATTTGGAATGTGTTGCTTCTTTGCTTAGCTACAGGCTGCTTAGACTTCTTGCGGCGCTTTGTGGCCGTTTCTTTATGTGTGAAAAGCCAGACGGATGTAAAATTACAGTTAAATGTATCACTTATTTACAATGAAATACATGTTTTTGTTACGAAATCGTTATTCTATTTAATGGCAATGATGGTATTTGCTCACGGCAACTGAGGCTCAGGAAGCCATATCGAGCGTGGCAGTGATATCATTTTCAGAGACATGCTCGAGCAATTTCCAAGAGCGACTCGTATTGTGAGATTTGAGCATACCTTTGACCAATCGAGTGCCTTACGATTATATGTTTCCTTCCTCCTGTTCCAGCTGCCGTACGTCTAGAAGATGCCGAAGCTTCCAAACTTAGCAGCGTAGATTTCCAAGAGTAGTGGGACAAGAAATGCGTTGAAAATGCTTTCATCAGCTACCGGTAAACCCTCTGCCACCCTAGGTTAGATAGAGAACACCCTGAACCCGCGGCAATATTAATATTCAACACAAAAGCGACCTGAACACAGTCCTGATAAGGAAAAATGGTATAGAGTGTCACTTCAAGCAACCCCAAGTATCCCCAACAGATCATGTCTCAAGCTTTGACCGCGTGTATTTTTGTGCATGCATATGCATATAGCATTAGTGATCAAAACATTAGCACAGTCTAGTGGCCGCAATGCGCAGCTTGTGGCAATAGCTTTGCGGACGCAAATCGAAGAATCACCTGAGACTCGGCTGCATCTTTAGTCTAAATTTTCGATATGACCGTGATTGCACATGCCATACCTAAAGGCTCTCTGAAGAAGACTTCGGACGCGCTATTTTGGGAACCATAAGCGGGATTCTCAGGGATTTTCAGGGTTTAAGATGATCAGTTCCGCGCTAAATACAAGCGCAAAGATGAAGGAAAACCGTCTGAGGGATGGTGGAACAATATCATCGGAATAACACACGTGCAAATGCAGCATTTGTCACTAGTTGCCTTTTATAGTAGCAAAGTCTGGATCTCATGATGACTCTGCGTTCCTACCGTGCATTGACCTCGGCTGTGTTATTAACTGCGACTTCCTCAACGGAAAACAACGACGAACTACAGTTAACACTAAATTAAACCTCCTAGGCCGCCATCCACATTCGTTAGTTTCAAAACCAACACACTCACTAATACAAGACAACCAAATGTTCAACAAATCAAATATCGCGCTCGTCGCCTCAATAATCGCAGCAGCTGCTGCTCACGGTACTGTAGATGTCTTCAGTGCCAACTACCAAGACTACCAAGGTGCCGACAACTGGGCTTCCGCTAGAAATGCGAACTCCGCAGTCAGACAGTGAGTTCGGGGATATCGCCGCGCTTTGTTCGCTGTTCGCTGACGGTTATTCTTTCTTTAGATTCCCGGCTGACACTGGTTATGTCGGTGGTGACGGCATTTACAACCCATCTCTGATTTCTTGTGGCTCAGCTGGACAATCACCAACGTGAGTCGCGCTTGCGATGTCTCGATTTGGCTGACAATAAAATAGACCAACAGTTGTCACCACTCAAGCGGGCTCATATGTCAATGTGCACTGGGAAGGCAGTGCAGGTCCAAACGGTAATTCATGGCCTCACCCAGTAGGTGCCGTCATGGGATACATGGCACCATGTGACAACAACGACTGCACCTCGTTCAATTCAGCAGACGCCAGCTACTTCAAGATATTCCAAGATGGCCATGATATGTCTGTTCCAAATGAGCAAGGCTGGATCGACCACATGCCCGCCGGCGGTTCAAATGGCTATGGTCTGTGGGGTGGAACAAAGTCTATGCTCCAAGAGGGTTCATGGATGGCTATGCAGATCCCTGCTGATATCCCAGCTGCTCAATACTTGCTTAGAGTTGAGCACATTAGCTACCACAACATGTGGGCTCCACAGCACTATCCAGCCTGTATTCAGTTAAACATCGAGAGCTCCACTCCGAATGGCTCTCCATTCCCAGCTTTGACTCCTGCTGGTGAATTGTACAACTGGGAGTCTGAGCAGGTCGATGTATACCAACAGAACTTCTATTACGACGTCAACAAAGTCGGACCAGCACTCTACTGGGGTGCATCAAACAACGGCGGTACTAACGCTAAGCGTCGTCGTCACCACGCTGATGCCTCTCACTAAGTGTGGATAGCAAATTTTAAACTTCGATACAGCTGACCGAATCGTTTGGCAATTGGATTACCTTTCACAGTCACTTTACCCTCTGATATTTTTCACATACCCGCGGCGCGGTCTCTAGAATCTTTGAACACTTATATCTTCCTTAACTTTTGATACATTTCGCGTCTTTTCCTGCACATATTTGGAGTGTTTGTGTGCAAATGAGCAGCACATTATCAGCTGACACAATGCAACTCAAAGGCAAGTCAATAATATTGATACCCACATGAACCCAAAATTATCATCAAAAGGATAAAATTTATGATACACCTGAAAAGAAAAGCTATATGCAAATATTAATTTTAATCAATTTCTTCCATTGCACCAGCGCCTTCACCTTCAAGTGCTGGAACATCGTCCTTGTTGTCGGTGGCAGCGGCAGGAACGGCCTCAGTTTCGTCGATTGAGAGACCAAGTGACACCATTCTGTTGATACGCTTAGCGAATGAGGTTGGGTCATCGAGTGTGAAACCTGATGTAAGCAATGCAGTTTCGAATAAGAGGTAGGTCAAATCACGGACAGTCTTGTCTGCAGCATCGTCTTGAACCTTACGCTTGAGATCCTTAATGATAGCGTTTTGTGGGTTGATTTCGAGCGTCTTCTTAGAAGCCATGTATGCTGACATGGAAGCATCACGGAGTGCTTGAGCCTTCATGATTCTTTCAAAGTTAGCAGACCATCCGAATGTGGAGGTTACAAGAACCATTGGTGAGTCTTGGATTCTGTTGGAAACAACAACCTTCTCAACCTTCTCTCCAAGAGTTTCCTTGACTGACTTGCAGAGATCTTCAAAGTCCTTGGCTTCTTGTTCACGCTTAGTCTTCTCCTCCTCAGTCTCTTCAAGTTCAAGACCTTCCTTAGAAACACAGACCATCTTACGGCCTTCGAATTCCTTGAGTTGAGTGACGGCGTACTCGTCAATTGGGTCAACCATGAGAAGAACTTCGAAGCCCTTGTTCTTGAGAACTTCCAAGAATGGTGAGTCCTTGACTGCTGAGAGCGATTCACCAGTGAGGTAGTAGATGTTCTTCTGAACTTCTGGCATACGAGTGATGTAATCCTTCAAGCTGGTTTGCTCCTCACCAGACTTGGTTGAGTGGAATCTGAGGAACTCAGCGAGCTTAGCACGGTTTTGAGCATCTTCGTGGATACCGAGCTTGATGTTCTTGCCGAAGGCTTCGTAGAACTTGGCAAAGTTTTCCTTGTCCTCAGCGATTTCAGAGAAGGCTTCGAGACACTTCTTGACAATGTTCTTACGAATGACCTTGAGAATCTTGTTTTGTTGGAGGGTCTCACGAGAAATGTTCAATGGAAGATCTTCAGAGTCGACGATACCTGTAGAAATGTTAGTAGATATTAATCAGTCAAACAGCACACCCACCCTTGACAAAGTTGAGGTATTCTGGAATAAGGTCTTCACAGTCGTCCATAATGAAGACACGACGGACGTAGAGCTTGATGTTGTTACGCTTCTTCTTAGTCTCGAAGAGGTCGAATGGAGCACGCTTTGGAACGTAGAGCAAAGCCTTGAACTCGAGTTGACCTTCAACAGAAAAGTGCTTGACGCTGAGGTGGTCTTCCCAGTCGTTGGTGAGAGACTTGTAGAACGCACCATAGTCTTCGTTTGAGATATCTTGTGGGTTACGAGTCCAGATTGGCTTGGTCTTGTTGAGCTCCTCTTCTTCCTTGACAGTCTCCTTGACGGTCTTGGTCTTCTTTTCCTTCTTTGCGTCCTCATCTTCGACTTCCTCGATCTTTGGCTTGTCTTCTTCGGTCTTTTGCTCAGCAGACTCATCTTGAACTTCCTTCTCAACTTCCTTCTCGACGAGGAGTTGAATTGGGTATGAGATGAACTCCGAGTGCTTCTTAACGACTTCCTTAATACGCTTTTCTTCGAGGTATTCGAGTTGGTCCTCCTTCAAAAAGAGACGCATTTCAGTACCACGGCCAATAGGAGGGTTAGTGGTGTCTTGAGTGATGGTGAAGGTACCACCAGCGGAAGACTCCCAGATGTATTGCTCGTCATCATTGTGCTTGGTGATGACTTCAACCTTCTCGGCAACGAGGTAAGCAGAGTAGAAACCAACACCGAATTGACCAATCATGGAGACATCAGCACCTGCGCTTAAAGCCTCCATGAAAGCCTTGGTACCGGACTTTGCGATGGTACCCAAGTTGTTTACAAGGTCAGCCTTGGTCATACCGATACCAGAGTCACGAATAATCAAACATTTCTGCTCCTTGATTGGAGTGAGTCTGATGAAGAGATCCTTCTGTGAGTCGAGTACGGATGGATCAGTGAGTGACGAGTAGCGGACCTTGTCGAGTGCATCGGATGAGTTGGAGATCAATTCTCTCAAGAAAATTTCCTTGTTAGAGTAGAAGGTGTTGATAATGAGATCGAGAAGCTGAGAGATCTCAGCTTGGAATGTGTGAGTCGTTTGTGACATGGCTGGTGGTTTATTAGATGATGGACGTTGTGGACAAAGAAGAAATTTACTTATAAAGCTCGTAGAAGTCTGTAGAATCTTGTGGTTAGTTTGGTTTGGAGGGGTGGAGAGATGGACAGTGATGGGAGGTGCACCGGGAACTCATCTTTCACAATCTCCATCCATCTCCCCATATTTACAACTCACCGACGTTGACTGTCAAACCGAAGAGAGCAGCTTGGAGAAGCTTTAACGGAGCCAGACGAAGATTCTCGAAGAAAGAAATATTCAAATATTTTACAGTAAATTTATGCCTTGAGCGCTCTATTCTCTAGTTAATATCCTTATTCCCGTTCTCGTTGCTCATCCACCGCCATGTCAAGCGATAATCGCACAGTCGTGATATCTGGTGCAGGGCTGGTTGGTTGTGTAGCTGCGATTGGTTTAGCAGGCAAAGGCTGGAATGTACAGATTTATGAATCGAGGCCTGGTCTGTCTATCTTTGGTTTGTGTGTGGCAATCGAGCTCATCAGCGTACGCAGACCCACGTTCACCCAGCCAGCTCCAGAAGCTGTCCAGACGCTCCATAAACCTTGCTATCTCTTCTAGAGCTCTTATGGCTATCAAATCCATCGACAGCGACGACGGTCTTCTTTATCATAGGCTCATCACTGACGCAACCATTCCGATGAAGGGGCGTATGATACACAGCCTCGATGGCTCTCTTGATAGCCAGATTTACAGCAATAACGGCGAGGCGCGTCTTTGGCTGTGCTCCTTGGAAATGTCTCACTCTCCAATAGTGCATCAATGCAATCGACCGTCAAAAGCTCAACAACGCACTCATTTCTCAAGCTCAGTCTCTTCCCAACGTTTCTATCTCCTTTGATGCCAAAATTCGTTCTGTGCAGTTCGACGAGCGTGTTTTGCATTATGAGCAAAATGGCGCGACAGCCGCGCACAAAGACTGGGATCTGGTGCTAGGTGCCGATGGAGCGCATTCCGTTATACGCAACCAGCTGATGCGGGTGATGAGGTAGGTAGAATGGGATTTCTACTCCATGTAGCACTTTCTCACAACTCTTTCCTGTGCACTTGTAGGATGGACTACGCACAGGAATACATCCCGCACGCCTACCTAGAATTGTCCATTCCAGCTGGTCCCGTTGATGGTCTCGGCAGACCGACTTTCCTGCTAGATGCCCACCACTTGCATATTTGGCCGCGTCAGTCCTTCATGCTCATCGCACTACCCAACCAAGACTGCTCATTCACATGCACGTTCTTTGCGCCTTTCGAAAAGTTCGCTCAGCTCGCAGACAGTAAAGACCGCTTCGTGGAGCTGTTCCGCCGAGAGTTTCCCGACGCACTTGCTCTGATGGGCGAGGAGTGCGCGGCGGATGACTTTACGCACAACCCGCAAGGGTCACTTGTGACAATAAGGGTGAGCAAGCGAAAGCTAGAGGGATAGCGAAGATAGTGACTAATGCACCCGCACCAGTGCTCGCCGTACCACTACTCCGACCGTGCAGTGATACTGGGCGACGCCGCCCACTCGATGGTGCCCTTCTATGGCCAGGGCATGAATGCTGGGTTTGAGGATGTGCGCGTGTTGCTCGCCATGATGGACAGTGCGGGTGTACGCAGTGACAAATCGACACCTGTCCAGCCGCTCGGTGTCGCTCTCGAAAGGTACAGTCGGGAGAGGAGTCGTGATCTGCGTAGTATTGTCGACTTGGCGATGGGCAATTACGTCGAAATGCGCTCTAAAGTCACTAACCCGCTTTATAAACTCAGGAAAGGGTTGGATGCCCTGCTCAACACACTAATCAGACCGGCAGCGGTGGCGTCGCCGGAGATTTTGCGGCGCGAACCATTCCCAACGGCTGCTAGCAGTGGGTGGATGAGTCTGTACCAGCTAGTCACCTTCAGGCCGGATATATCGTACGCGGATGCTGAGGAGGTTTCGAGAAGGCGCGATGAGAGGGTGAGCTTGGTGGGTAAGGGTAGTATAGCTGGTTTGGTTGTTGCAGCGGGTGTTCTCGTAGCCAAGGTGTGCAGGGAAATGCGTAAGTGAGAAATAAAAAAATATGAGGAAAAAGGAAAGGAAGCTGGAGTCGTAACGTCAATTATTATCTCAAAGCTCGTCTCATCACATGGCCTTTGTATCACTTATCACTGACTCCAAATATAACCGCGTGTACCTGCATAAAAGCCATTGTTCTCCAAATTAAGATACATTTTGCATAATAAGAGGGGTTAGGAGGGAGCGTATATCCGTTGAACACGATGAACAAGACAAGTGAGCGCAAGAGACCAGCAGCACTGCAGCTGAACGCGGACGGTGCATCTAGAGCGTCAGAGGCGATGACGGGGCCACCCACGGGCTATATAACGGGTACGCCAGCACCACACACCGCCGCACTCAACCACACGAAGCACCTCGACAATCTACACGCGCAAGCGCTGCGATACTGGGAGCGCCACGAGCATGCGGACTGTGCGCTAGTGATACCGGTCGACGAGGGGTGCGAGTGTGAGTGTGATGCCGCGTGCGAGGCTCAAGTTGAAGGCAAAGGTGAGCCGCACACGCTGCTCTACCCACAGACGCCACAGACGCCACCCACGCGACGCACTTCGGAGGTCACCATATCCGCTGCGGCGGCTGCATCAGCTGGACTGTCCGCAGCGGTGTTCAACTACGATGTAGCACGCGCTGAGGCTGTGGAAGGGAGTGGCAATCGGACGCTGTTCTGGCCGCCGCTGAACAAACACAAACACAATCACGGTCAGCAGGAGAGCGACGACCACAACACGCACGACGAACGAACCCCACGCGCTAGCGTTGCGAGCAATAGTAGCGCACACAGCACACAGACCATTCGAGCTTTCGGCAGTAAGAGCAGTGTGACTAGCCCGAGAAGCAGTAGAAAGACGTCCGTCGTCGCCGATGGGGCTGCGCTGAAACCGGAGCAGATTCAGAGTCAAATTGAGAATTACAGCCAAAATCACACTCACACCCACTCACACTCCCATCCACGCCTACTTGTCCTCCATCTCCACAAGGACTTCCTCACATCCCAATCGAGCCTCTTCAAGGCAATTTTCGACAGACTGGGGGAGGAGAGTGAGCAGGCAGACGCCGAAGCAGAAGCAGGCGCGTACAAGCATTTGAACAGATCGGAAAGCGAAAAGAGCGAAAAAGTGGAAACTATGAAGAAGACGGAGCAGATAGCATCCGAGACGCGCGCGATGCTAAAGCAGGGAGTTGCGCACAGTATGCACAGCAAACACAAACGGACAATACCACATATCATGCCACACACTCGCGCCATATACCTACCGATACCCGACGCGTACTCTTTGCTGCATCTCGTACAAGCACTCTATTTCGGACATGGACCCTTTCTGGAGGGCCACCTCGAAAGCGGTGCGGTTAAGTGGGAGGGCGCAGTGCAGAACGCGGAATATCTCGGATTGGATTCGTGGGTAAAGCGGGTTTTGGGACGGTGGTGGAATAGACGGGTGAATGTGGGCAAGAGGCGTGCTAGTGGTGCGTCGATACCCCACACCCATACTCAGAATTTGCCCACGAGGAAAAGCAGCGGCATGTATGCTCATTCTTATTCACATATCAAGCAGACTCTGCACAATTTTGATCTCTCTAAGACGTCAAGTGGTCTTGTCGATTCTGGTGGGTATGGAAATCAAGACAAATATCGTCATCCAACAAGTCCAAAATCGGAGGAGATACTGAGTAAGAGGTTGCGTAATATTTAACAAGATTAAATTGTAGGCAGATGGAAAAACATGGTAAATATCGTAAATATCGTAGACATAATAAGCGTGATAAGCATCATAGACTTGAAGAGGAAAAAGAGAGAGAAAATATAAGCAAAGTACAGCTATTGAGTTGCGCTATCAAGGCCGCCCTGTTTGCTCTGCTTCCTCTGCTTCTTTGTGCCGCCTTGGGCAGGTTGTGCCGAGAGAAGTTCGATGTGGTCATCCACCTTGACGAGAGGAACGTAGGAGGAATCAGGGGGGTTGTGTGTAATAAGCGGCGTGCCTTCAACCTGCAAGCAATCTGGATTGTACAGCTTCCCCTCTTTGTCCTTGAGAACGCCATTCACCCAATCTTTGGCGACGCCGGAAGTAATTTGGGTGATGAAATCCCTCTTCTTCTTCTCGTTGATGCGGGAGAGAGACTGCAGCTGCCACTGGCGTTTCTGTGTCGTGTGTTATGGTGTTATGGCTCAGCGTGTGAACAAAGAATACAGCGTGAACAACTCACCCAGCTATTAAACCCACAGACATCTGGATCGTGGTATGTTGTGCAAAGCAGAAAGTAAAATGATTTTGTCATCGTTGTATTGGTGAAAGTGTTTGGTCTTGTGTGGCTTGATACATGTGATGTAGTCAGCATGTGGACAGGTGAACACGCAGAATAAACTATCAAACTCCTACTCAGCTCAAACAGAGGACTTGGATAACACAAAGGATATCCAGCTATTTGGTAAAGTGCGGTGAAGATTTTCAGGTTACGTTTATGTCAATTTAAGCACATAATCATACACCTTAAACCGCGCTTTAACATTCCTTCCTACTTACAGGTCAATATATCAAGTTCACGCATCTCAATTTAGTCATAATTTCTTTACTCAATAACGTCATCATCTACAATGCAAGTTGAGATAAAAGAGAAATTAGATGACTTAGATGTGGAGGAATTGAAGAGACTATCCAGCCAATCAAATTACAGGGATTTCAACGAGCTATTTAACAGTATAAGAGATGAATTGGGTAGAGTGAAGGAGATGATTGACGAGAACGTCTTCCAAGGCGGGGATAGAACATTAGAGGAGAGATACAATCTGATTCGGAGCAAATTCAGGAGCGTATCTCTATCAACCAAGCGTAGAATAGATGGGAGTGGAGGGCGAAATGAGCTGATAGATGACAAGGACGAGAGGAACAAGGATGATTCTGAGCTTACGCAGAGCCTCGTGAAGACTACAAACATGTTGAAATCTAATTTGGATCAATCAATACTCAATCATCAGATCTGGGAGGATAGCAGTGGTCTGATGAGTACTACAAGGAATCAGTACATGGATTTCAATGTATTGTTGAATACATCGAAGCAGATATTAAGGCAGCTTGAAAGGGGTAATATACTTGATAAGCTGCTGATCGTAATATCCATTCTATTCTTCGTGTTCTGCGTTTTATACGTTTTAAAGAGACGCATATACAACAGAGGAATCACAATAGCTAGCGTACTGTTTAAACCATTTCAACAAACCAATCAACACGATGAATTGTAGTTTCGATGCTTATACCATAACGATCATCATCACCATCATCATCACATCATGAAGGGTGAGTAGCTGTGTAGACTGAGGAATACGTCGAGTACGCCAGACAGCCCTCTAATATCCACAAAGGAATGATAAAATCAATTAAGCGTGCCCCGCACCAAATGTCCTCTAAAATTGGCAGAGCGTCTACAACAACAGACGCCGCATTCGACGAACATGAACGTAGAATGCAAATTATAGAGCAAGGTGCTGATAGGCTGGTGAAGGATTCAAGGCTGTTTAGAGATTCTGTTCAAGGTGCGTCTGCGTCTGCGTCTTGGCAGTTGAATCACACCACTCAATGCTCACATCATTCGCAGGTCTGCTGAAATCAGGTGCCGATTTCGGTAAAGCCTTTGAAACAATATTTCAACCAATGTGAGTTTGTGCGAGTATATTACATCCCGCTCACACCGAATTCAGTGGCTCAAATGATGTTGGTCTCGACAAGAAAAATCCAGCGTCGGAATTGACACTAAACAACATCACCATGTATCAAGTACTGATGGCAGAGTTGAAGGACACGCTCGCACCTGAATTGGATCTGATTGAGGGTAGGGTGATGACCCCAGCCAAGGAGTTCAAGGAGTTGTTGCAGCGTGTGCGCAAGACGATAGTGAAGCGTAATCACAAGGTGGGCTTGGAGTGTTGTAGGATTTTTGATAACTCAAACACCCAAACAGCTCGTCGACTACGACCGCTTCAACAACTCACTCTCCAAGCTGCGCGAAAAGAAGGATAAGACGATGAGCGACGAGAAGAATCTTTTCAAGCTGGAGAATGAGTTTGAGAATGCACAGGCTGAATATGAGCACTATAACAACCTCACCAAGACGGAATTGCCACAGTTGTATGTGATGGCGCAGAAATTCATCACACCGCTATTCCACTCGTTCTACTACATGCAGCTGAATATCTACTACCTCATTCTCGATAAGGTACAGGCATTCGCTAGCGATAAGTATGACCTTAACTACGGTGATGCTGAATCTGCATATATGGCCAATGACCAGGGAGCTAATGTGCAGGTGGAAGAGTTGACTAAACGACTTACAGCGCTGTCTACGGGTAAATTTGGCGCACAAATCAGACGCAACAAGTCAAAGACGGCAGCGGGAGGTGAAGGAGGCGGTGGAGTTGGAGTTGAGGAGGGTGATGAGTATGATATGGGTAGCTCTAGTGACGTCAAGTCACCAGGTGGAGCAGCAGGTTTGGGCAGGTCAGGATCAGGGTTCAGCTCAGCACCACCTGCGTACGATGCATCACCTAGTTCAGCTTCCAAGAGACCACCACCACCACCACCAATGAAACCAAAACCTAAAGGGAGTATCGTTACAGCGTTGTATGACTTTGAGCCACAGGTGAGTAGATTGATTAGTAGGTTGAGTCATTTACAAGTATAAATAGGCAGAAGGGGATCTTGGATTCAGAGCAGGGGATCAGATAGAGGTGATTCAGCGTACGGAATCGACTAATGACTGGTGAGTGCTGCAAGTGGATTCTGAAGTGTGTTCCTGACAAGGTACAGGTGGACAGGAAGAATGGGAGGAAGCGAGGGAGTGTTCCCTGGGAACTACGTGCAAGAGAATTAAGAAGAGGGGATTAATTAAGTAAATTGAGTAAATTGAATAAATAGTGTTTTCAGCCCACCAATCAGATGCGATTAGATAAGGGAAAGGGATCAGCCAATCAGAGGGAAGAATGGGGTGGCTGGGAGAGTGAGAGTGTGGGAGCGTGATATACGTCAGAACCCTTTATTAGATAAACAAATTGAGTTAAATAAACCAAGATAATGATAAAACACCCCTTGGACTCCAACGACAACGACGAGAATGAGTAATTACAATAATTATAGTAATCCCAGTAATCCCAATAATTCCAATAACACTGCAATCCCGTATGATGAATATTAAATAACCATATACAATCTAACGTGGCCTACACGCAGCTCAATCTCGATGAGTAAATCAAACAACAACGCATCATTGGCTGGCAGTTACGAGTCATTCGAATCAGACTCGGTTAATTCTGAGGGTTTGTGACTGTCCAATGGATTCCCCTGACAGCAATCTAACTTGATTATAGAGGAAGAAGACTTGGATGATTATTGTAAAGGGGGATATCATCATACTATGAGTGGGTGTATTAATCAATTTACAGCGTATAAAACTCACTCTTGTTCACTCGCAGTCGGTGACACTTTCGCTGATGGCAGATACACCATCGTCCGTAAATTGGGCTGGGGACACTTTTCATTGGTTGGTAGAAATCTAAAGCTTCTGCCTGGCTAATCCCACTCCCATCAGGTCTGGCTCGCTAAAGATCACAAAACTAACAAACACGTCGCACTGAAAATAGTCAAATCAGCTCCACACTACACAGAAACAGCTCTTGATGAAATCAAACTTCTGCAACGTTTAGTCTCGTCTGAACCCCGTCATCCTGGTCGCAGGCATTCCGTTCTTCTCCTTGACCATTTCCGTCATAGAGGTCCAAATGGCTCACACGTTTGTATGGTTTTTGAAGTCCTGGGCGAGAACCTCCTCGGTCTCATCAAACGCTATCAACATCGCGGTGTTCCCATTCAAATCGTTAAACAGGTCGCTAAACAAATCCTTCTCAGTTTAGACTACATGCACAACAAGTGTGGTATCATTCACACAGATATCAAGCCTGAGAATGTTCTTATATGCATCGATGACGTTGAAGTCGTTGTTAAAGCTGAGTTGGATAACAGTGTTCAAGCTGTACCGACTAAATTAGTCGGTGTTCCACCTTCGCAAGGCAGAGGCGGTGCTCAAACTCCTAGAAGAGAAGGTATCTTCATCACTGGATCTCAACCTCTGCCCTCTCCCTCCTCTTCAATGGCAGGTAGTCCTATGATGGATAAATGGAGTTTCGGTATGTCCAAGATCTCGGGTGTTCCTGGTATAGGTCAGTCACCCAACAGTTTCAGATCTACCCAAGTTAGCACAGGTTTTGAAAATAGCGCTGAAATGATTGGTAAGGATTTAAAGGGCGTTAAACTCGCAAGCGACAAACCCAGCTCGCCCCTCAGTCAGCCTGGCGACAGTTATTTCGGTGAGAAAACAACAGCAAAAGCTCCAAAAGCACAGGGTCCATCCTTATTATCACAACAAGCGCCCCAACAACCAAGCACATCGAGTACATCATCTACCGTCGTCACTAATCAGAATCCTCAACCGGGTGAACCTACAAAGATATCCGCTGATTCTCCTTTCTCTACCTCACTCCCCCAATATCCACGTCCATCACACGCACCTCACTACTCACACTCACCTAACGAAGACATGCACGATAATATACCAACTGCTCCATATGACCCTGAGAGTCTTGAACGGCTCGCATGCAAGATAGCCGATCTGGGTAATGCTTGCTGGATAGACCACCACTTTACAAATGATATCCAGACGCGTCAGTATAGATGTCCCGAGGTGATACTGGGTGGTCAATGGGGTCCCAGTGCGGATCTGTGGTCTACAGCGTGTATGATATTTGAGTTGATAACGGGTGATTATCTTTTCGATCCGCAATCGGGGACCAAGTACGGGAAAGATGACGACCACATGGCGCAAGTGATGGAGCTGCTAGGCAACATGCCTAAAGAGCTCATCAATGGTAAGTATTCATTAGATCTTTTCAACAGGAGAGCCGAGCTTAGGAGAATCCACAAACTGCGTTATTGGCCGCTAGACAGGGTATTACGGGAGAAGTATCTGATGAGTGCGGAAGAAGCTAATGTGTTGACGTCGTTCTTGGTACCCATGTTGGATCTTAATCCCGAAACGCGCGTCAGGCCGAGGGATCTACTCGAACATGAGTGGATTACGGACGTTATCACTGATGGCGAGATTGAAAAGATACATTACGAGGAAATGCTCAAGAATAACAGGGGTGATCTTAGTGCGTTACGTGAAAGCGACGCTCTCAAATCACTCGACGAGGCTGTCATTCTAGGCGGTCTCACACAGGAGCAGAGGTTGGCGCAACAGAAACATCAGAAAGAACTGCAGGAGCAGGTTAATAGTGGGGGACATGTGCCTTTTCATGGTGCCACAAGTGGTACTGTCAACCCTGTAGGCGCTCTCGGCCACGGAAATGGCACTGCCTCGCCACAAATCGCCCATGTGCATGCCCATGCTTATGGTGCTTGAATAAGTTTGCATGGAGAAACCAAAAAAACCAAGAGACCAGAAACGAGAATCGATGACAATCGAGAAAGATAAACATTACATTAGTACATAATACATTAATCTTGCGTGATTTTAATAGAAAGAGTAGGTGGATAAGGTGGATGAGCTAGTGAGCTATACTCTCCCCACTCACCACACATGCTAACCCAGCGACATTCTCGAAATACCATCCACACCCTCACTCCTGATTTTGACGGCGTCGTCGGAGGTGTAGCTAGAGCCAGTTTCAAGAGCCGAGTCGTCAACGGGAGCGCTAACGCCAACGCCACCACCGACTGAATCATGACCCCACTTGATGCCCGAGCTCGCAGCAAGGCCGAGAGCCGTAGTTCCATACCCCATTCCGCTGCCCTTGCCGGGTGTGCTAGCGGCTGCTACGACCGTACTCAGTTGAGGGCTGGCCGAGCGTGATGTGTTGGAGTTAGATCTGTGTTTGAGAGTGGAATGTTGAGATGAGGTGGGAGTGGAATGTGAATGTATTGGTGTTGGTGTCTGCATTGGTGTTGGCGTTTGCATTTGCGTGTGTGTATGTGTATGTGTCTGGCTTTGACTTTGGCTTATTGAGAGACTGGGTGAAACAGCTCGCCTCTTCATGCTGCTGTACGCATACGGTTCGTATCTGTCCCCTTCAGTCAATTTCCGCTTCGCCGCTTTGCCCGTGTTGGCAGTGAGGTGGAGCTGGGTGGATGAGCTTGGGGAGCCGTTCATATTGGCGTTGCCGTTGCCGTTGCCGCTGCTATGCGCACTCACACTCCCACTCCCACTCCCGTTCATCGGCAAGTCCACATCGTGGATACTCCCCTGGCTCAGCCGCGCGCCCGGCGACGCGCGCGCGGGGTGGCTCGGCTCGCGAAACTCGAGCCACGCGTTGAGACTTGTGTTGTGTGGTGCGCGCGGCGGCATAGGCGGGGGCATGTGTAGGTGTGAGTGGGAGTGAGCAACAGTGCCGCTATCGCACGGTTCCCAGGTGTTGGTATTCATGTCCATGTCTTCAGAAGCACCGAGGGCACCGAGGGTACCGGTACCGACGTGCATACCCCCGCCCACGCTCACACTCTCGCTCTCCTCGCCACTGCTGCTGCTGCACACCTCTTGGTCCTCATCCTCGTCGTGGCAGCTCTCGGGAAAGCGGCCGTGCGTGCGCGTGCGTCCTGCATGGCTGTGATGGCTGTGTCTCGAGCGCGGCGTGCGCGGCAAAAGCGGCGAGGAAGGTGCCGACAGGAGCAGGCGCTGCACGTTGGCCTCTGATGCCGCCTCGTGTTGCTGTGGCGCCTTCTCCCCGCGCAGCTGGTCCTGCACTCGACTAAAGTTCTTGGACTGTGGAAGCAGGTTCTGTCGCCGCGTGACAGGCCGTGTGGGGACGCGCAGGGGTGTGTGTGTGTGGGCGTGTGCTGGTATTTGCGATAGTATTTGCCATGGTGTCGCTCTCCCGCTCCCGCTATCGTCCATCGGCACATCGGCCACATCAGCCCCTCGTAACCCTCCCGGCGGCGTGGATGGCGTCTGGGACGAGTGCAGCGAATTGCGCCGCCGCTGCGCTTCCGCACTCGCACTCGCACTCATACTCACGCTGCTCGTCGGCGACTGGGACATGGATACTCGCTGGGCAAAGCCTCCCCCGCTACTGGCACTGCCCGGGATAGGTATGGCGTGGTTGTGCTGGTTGAGCTGGTTTGGCAGCCCAAACACCGAGCTGCTGCTGGGCACTTGACTGTGGCTGTGATTGTGCATGGTCACCGTCAACGTCAAGACGAACGTGTTATCAATCAATTAGTACAACAGAATATATGTGTCTGTAGTGTAAGAATGGGTGAAAGTGTAGGTGTAGTTGTGCGTGTGCTGTGTCTTGTGCTGCTGCTGCTACTGGTGTTTGTCGTGGCTTAGGCGTGTCGTGAAACGGATTATGTAAGAAATGCTCATCTATTTGCATTAAGATAACTGCTCTGCTTCAATTACCAGTCAATTCACTCCCCTATCAACCTCACCAATTCATCTGACTGTGGGGTCGTTAGCAATTACAATCCACAACCGCACTCAGCTCGTACTTACTGGAATATCAGCCAGACTTACTCCATCGGGATATTTCTGCGGGTCGATCGGTGCGTAGTGTGGAGGGGGTGCTTCCGAGGAAACACAAGGCGTGGCAGGGGTGGAATGGGTTGCTGAGGCGGTGTTGGCCGTTGGAGTGCGTTCACCATCACCATCACCTTCACCAATTTCATTCTCGTTTTCATTTCCACTTTCACTCTCTTCTCGTCTGCTCGTCGACGCACCCGCGCCTTGTGAGCGTCTTCTCTCGAGCTCTGTCAGACTTATGTCGAGGTTATTCGGTGTAGGTGGGTTGTTTGTGTAATCGAGCGACTCGCTTTGATTGTCCTTGTGATGGTGATGCGATGGAGCGTGTCTGATATTCGAGAGTGTGAGATTGTGTGACTGTGGATCATTTGAGACCGTCGATGTACCGACTCCGGCGTCACCAGCCATCTCACTCCCGCTCTCATCCGCCTGTGCACCTGCACGGGAACCACCTCCAGCCTCCCTCCTGAGACCTTGGTTGACACGTCTCTCGAGACGGCTGCGCTCATCGAACGTGAGAGGGCGGGAGGGATCGTGTGTTTGTGTGTCGTCTTCATCACCTCCGCCTCGTCCGCCTGCCGTCTCAAGCAGCAGCGAGCCGTTGTTGTGTCCGTATGCGGGTGGTGGAGCGAGAGTGCCCGACATAGGTGCCAGACCCCACTTCTTCACGTTAGCCTCTATAAAAACGAAACCAGCTTGGCCGAAATTGACATGAACGACTGCCGCCCCCGTGCTGCCTACGGTAGGGAAAAGGTCGAGTGGGGAGGAGTTGGTTGGGTTGCCGTTGCTTCCTTCTGAGTTGGCTTGCGCGTGAGAGGGAGTGCGTTGTTGGTTACCACCGCTGCCATTCCCGAAAGCATGGAAAGCACCATCGAGCGGAGGTGGGTCGAGACGCTTGCCGTTACGCGTGTAGAAGACAGTCCCAGTGCGCGGTTTGTAACCGACACCGAGCACGTCGCCTTCGAGCAGTGGCGTGCCGATCGGGTGGGCAGTGAAGGGATAGTTGTAGCTCGCCTGCCCGTTGCTGTCATAAGCTACAGAGTACTTGCACGTGCCGGGCAGCCTGAACGAAGGGAACGGTTTGGTAGACAGACCGAACGCGAGAGTGGTGCCAGGCGAAATCTCGAACAGCTTCGCTTCAAAGTAGTACACGTCGTTGGAACGGGGGATAGGGAGATTGGTCTGTACGCTGCAAGCACCGCCTTCACTGGGTGGGAGACCCTCGCCATCAGCCAGGAAAGTGAGCTCGGTGCGGGCTTGGACGAGAATTGGAGGGAGCGATTCGTAGTCGGGCTCGAATGACCACGCTGCAACACCCTTCTCTTGGATGGTGAGATATTGAGATAGGGTGATGGCGGTGGGGAGACTGGTTGGCGGGTGGGTGGCTTGGAAGTCACGGGCTCTCTGTACACCAGCCATCTGGGCTTGGTCTAACGAGTTGAAGTAGCGCTCAATGGCGGCAGTTTGACCGCCTGGCTCGTCGACGGCCCAATCGGCTAAACCGCCGTCATAATCCATATCAGAGAGATCGATAGGGGGGAGATTGAGGTGATCGTCGTTGAAAGGGAGAAATAGCTGCGAGGAATCAGGGGTAATGCGAGTGAGCCTGCGGAAGTTGCCGGGACTGCGTGTGCTGCGATTGCGCTTCTTGATACGGACTATGAGGAGCGCGAGAGAGAAGATGAGAAAGAGAAAGGTAATTGTGGAGAAGACCAATATTAGCGGGAGGATGATGAATAGCGATGGGCTGTTGTGGGATGCCATGATGGTGGTTCGGGACCAAGAGGCGGAGATGGGGCTCGGGATGGGGGAAACGGAGATGAGTAGAGATTAATGAGAAGGGGGAGAAGAGCGTATAGCCTGCTGCAAGAATATGCAAGAATAAATGAGAAATAAAAATAAATAAATCGGCGAACAGGAATGACTGGCTGTCAAAGGCGTTTCTAATCTCATCATCCATCATCACAGAAATCACAATGAATAAAACAGAGCCAACAAGATCACAATCGAATTTATCCGAGTTGTTGAGGGTGAATGGGGTGAGGCAGACGCCGACGCAGGCAGATGCACAGATACACGTACCCGCACACGCACACGCACACCCACCCACACGTACTCACAAACACACCACATTGAAACTAGACAAATTACCGCGTTTTACTTTGGGAGATAGGCAGGATACTGAGGATACTGATGATACTGAGGGTACATACGATACACACGAGTCTTGGTTATCATTCATTCCAAGGGAGACACAGAGTACATCAGAATACTCAAATCCACCACCACCACCGAGTTTATTGCCAAAATCACTTTGGAAGGTTAGTTTGCCTTATTAATCCAAATGAACCAATCAGATTGATTTGATTCTTATAGCCAGATAATGATTCGTTGGAATGTGATATGGTGACATGCTCAACTACTTTCAACTTATTAGAGCGTCGTCATCATTGTAGAAAGTGTGGTGGTGTATTCTGCAACCCACACTCTTCGCAAACTGCAAACTTGGTTGATACCACCAGCTGCGATTACATTTTACCAAGAAGACAAGACAAATCGAAGACGGTCGCTGTTAGAGTGTGTGATGATTGTCATCAAGATCTTTATCAGCCCTCATCACCTAACTCTTTATCCATTTACAATGAAAATTTTCAGCATCCTACAACTCCTCAACTTTCTATTAGCCCTTTTACTTCATCATCTTTCTCTTCACCGAGTTGTTCGCTTGGAAAGCACTATCAACAGCAATATCAGCAACAGTATCATCGTATGACCTCACTTCAACTACAACACAACTCCTACTTTGTTCCCCCTATGGTTTTGGCTGAGCAGAAGTGTGATGGGCAAGGGGAGTCACAGGTGCAGGTACAATCAAATTCACAATCAAACTCCCACTCACACTCCCAACAACCACCTCCACCTCTCCATAACTACGTCCTCGCTTCCACCTCCGCAAGACAAGCACCCGGTAGACTAGCCCCTTTCACCCCTCCTATTACCTCCTCCCACTCCACCTACACCTCCAGCTTAAACATACCAATCAAATCATCAAATCATCAAAATGTCATCATCGATGGTGATATCAAGGTTAAAGAGCAACCTATCTATGGTATGGGTCAATCTCTCGCTAAATCTTTGACCTGGGCGTGGTCGACTTTTTAACTAGAATTTCCTTCCTTTTCTCTTTCACGACTTGGTTACGTTCCGTGCATTGAATGCACTGTATACTCTCTCCATCTCTCTAACTTATTATTTTCACACTTTTGCATACATACATAGTCTCAATTCAAATAAAGTGATTAAATGAATAACAGAAAAGTTAGACAAAAGCAACACCCCAAAACAATAAACCTATAATATTTAGTCAAAATGAAGAAGCAACGAGTTGAGATTGAGTGATTGAGTGAGTTATGAGTCAGTGAGAATAAGGAGAATAAGGACTTGAGAGAAAAATTAGGTGAAATCTTTCTAAACAGAAACTATTCGCAAATTTGTCATGATTGAGATGAGATTGAGGAGATGAGATTGAGGAAAAGAGACTAAGGAGACGTGTAAATCGTCCATTTTGATTAAATAATGTTAAAAAACCATCTTCTATGTTTATTGTGGTATTTGATCACTTTGTGGTGGTGCATTTGATGGAATTGCGTAAGCAGCGTAAGGACTAGGACCAGTTTGGTTGTTTGGGTTAGCATGGTTAGCGCTAACGTTAACACCGCCTGGTGGTGTGTGTTGGTGTGCCTGTTGCTGGCCCAATTGAGCTGCAGCTGCGGCCTGTTGAGCTGCAAAGTACTGTGTCCACTGGTTAGGGTCAATGCCCGGCATAGCGACGCCTGCC